ACGGCGAAAGTCATCCACCCACAGAACTGGCACAGAGATGGAAACCCAACAGCAGAAGCCAACATCAGCTTAATGAAGTTAGTGACATCTTCAGCTCACTACAACTTGGCAAAACATTGCCCTTATTTTATTTACTGATTCTCAGGCTCTCTTGCCTAGTGTCAAATGTGACTTAGGAAGCTATGAAAGACCCCAGAAGAGCTGCAGAAACCCACTCAATGACTGGCCTTTGGACCGCCCACAGTACAAAAAGGTCTAGATTGAAAACAATTTGTCACAGCAAATATTACTGGTGAATAAAATAAGGTTTCACATGAACAACATGTAAGAACATTTATGAAGACTTGAAATGCAGTGAATTTTAATAGATGGCAAAACCATTCACTAAATATTTAAAATTGTAGTGCCACCTAGTGGCAAAAGATCTATTAACAGTTCACATTTTCTAAGAACTACTCGATTTTAAAGAACATTAGGATTTAATACTTTATATAATGGAGCCCAGCATTGTGGTATAGTGGGTAAGGCCATAACCATCCCATATGGGCGCTGGTTCAAGTTCTGGCTGCTCCATTTCCGAGTCAGCTCCCTGCTAACAGCCTGGGAGAGTGGAAGCTGACTTAAGTGCTTGGAACCTGGCCGCCCACATGGGAGACCCGGATACAGCTCCCAGCTCCTGCCTTTGTCCTGGGCCAGCCTGGCCTAAACCAGCACACAGAAGATCTCTCTCTCGCTATCTCACTTTATCTCTTTCAAAAGAATAGATCTTAAAACAACTTAAGTTTTTTTTTTTAATGGACTATCTACTATGTAGAACAGCATTGTATTCTTGATAAATATTAAAACTTTTTAAGTCAATGGTAACGGAGCGAGTGCTCAGCGTAGCCCCCGAGACATCGTGCAGTACAACCACGTGCCATGTCCCAGAGCCTGGGTTCAAGGCTTCACTCCACTCCTCATTCCAGCTCCTGTTAGCGTGCGCCCCAGGAGGAGCAGGGATGGCTTGAGTCCCTGTAACCATGTGGGGACTCAGAGTCCCAGGACCTGACTTCAGCTTGTCCCAGCCTAAACTTGGGACAGCATGCCAGTAGATGGAGGATCTCTGCCTATCTCTCTGCCTTCCAAATAGAACTAAATAAACTTAGAAAAGTAAAATGCAATGGTACAATATCCAATTTTTATGTTGAGATTCTGCTGGAATATGTAATGACACTAAGGCACTTCTCCTGATACCTGTTCAACAAGGACTACGTGCCAGGTGTTTTTAAAAGTGGTCTGTACTTCAGGAAGCCCTCATGCTGATGCTGCCAAGGCAGACTGGACCGACCCCAGAAGGGAAGCCCACAGGTCAGAGCAAGCTGCCCAAGCCCGCAGCCAAGCCAGGGTCTACGCCTGGGCTCAGCCCGCTCTGTCAGCACCCCTCCTGTGCACAAAGGCTGTTCCGTCTCAGGAGGGAAATGCTGTCATCTGTAGTAAAATCCTTTGTCCTTTTTTTTTCTTTTAAGATGAACTTATTTATTTGAAAGGGGAACAGAAAAGAGGGGGAGATGGCTTATGAAGACAGTGGTGTCTGGACCCTGAAAGCAGTCCTCAGAGAGGCTCAACATGCACCCTAGTCACGCACTGGCAGCTCTGAGACTCAACACGCACCCTAGTCACACGTCGGCGGCCCTGAGACTTCACACATACCCCAGTCACATGTTGGCGGCCCTCAGACATGTGTCAGTGTTGGCGTTGTCATTTGAGCACAGATTGGTTTAGCCAAAGCCTGTGTTTTATAGATGGGGAAACACAGTAAAGCGGGCAGTGCCTGTCACAGGAAGAACGGTGAGCCAAGTGTTTCTTTGGTCTTCATGTCATGAAGGCATGTGAGTACAGGATAGCCTGCTGATGGTTGTTCTGACCAGTCCACTCAGAGCCAACGGGCAGCACATGGCTGCTCCTGCCTTCTCTCAAGATGCTCTGACTGCCGCCAACCCGCTGGCCAGTGTGCCTCCAAGGAACTACAGAACACGAACATGACTGCACAATCTTCTCCTGAAATGTTAGAGCTCGCAGTTTGGATGCTTCAAAGGATTTTAAGAGTGCAGTTCCCCAACATGGAACAAAGACCACTGATGCACCATGTGACCAGTGACACAGACACCACAGCACCTCTGGTGTCAGCGTCAGCCCTCGTGCTTCATCATTTCCCACAGGCACACTGTGGCGTAACAGGAAGCATCGAGGTCGAACGAGATCTTCAGAGACAAAGGCGCTCCACCGCTGGCGGTGCCTTCCGCTCTGACCGCAGAGCCCTGGTCCTCCAGGAGCTGGTGCACGACGCTGTGCGGCTGCTTCACGATGTGTCGGTAGCATCCTGGCACCTTCAGGGCCAGGGCAGGCAGCCTGAAGCTGCACGTCTGCAGGCCATCCCTGCTGAGCAGCTCCTGGTACCACCGCCCCACCAGGTTCTCTGGGTACTGAACGTTGTAGCCAGGCACAGGAAGAACCACCTGTGAAAGAGAAGCAACCAGACACACAGGACACGGCCTTGCAAGGACACAGCAGCCTGGCTTCTGTATGTCACGTCTGTTTCATGAGTGGAGCCCAGCTCTGCAACAGGGTCTAGCACGCACACCTCCCAGGCAGCCCAGAGCAGGCCAGGCCCCGGACACTGTGTGGTACTTTTCTCATCTGCCAGATGGACACCTATAACCAAGGTGGCCAACCACGCTCAAAATGCAGGTACATTTCATTAACCAGAGACACTGAATTTCTACAAAAATTACACAATCCCGACAGGTTATACTTTCTCTGACACCAGGTAAATGTACTGCTCAAAGGCATAATCACTGTTTTTGGTGGTAATTTAATATTTTCTCTTACTCAAAAATAAAAAAGCACCCAAGCAGCTGAAAAAACACGGCTTCATGAGTCATCCGGCCACCTGCGGGCTGCGCTGCCCTCCCTGCGGACTCCCCACAGCAGGAAAGGCGGAGCGCAGCGAGCAGGTCCAACGGCAGGCGCAGCACAGTGCTGCGGCCAGGCAGACTCCTCAAGGAGAGCCGGAGAGCAGCGGAGGAGTGGCGGAGCCCGGGCCTGGGGCCGGGCAGAGGGGGCGAGGCCTGCTCTCTAAGGAGGAGTGGCGGAGCCCGGGCCTGGGGCCGGGCAGAAGGGCAAGGCCTGCTCTCTACGGAGGAGTGGCGGGGCCTGGGCCTGGGGCCGGGCAGAGGGGCGAGGCCTGCTCTCTAGCTTGATTTTCCAAGTGCCCGAGTACAGCGTGTCCGCCTTGAAGCACTGTAAAGCAAAACCAGAGTATGATGACATTATTTTATTTTTAAAAAGCAGGGTGAGGGGCCCAGAGCAACAGCATAGTGATTAAAGTCCTTGCCTTGAACGTGCCAGGATCCCATATGGGCACTGGTTCTAATCCTGGCAGCTCCACTTCCCATCCAGCTCCCTGCCTGTGGCCTGGAAAAGCAATTAAGAATGGGCCAAAGCCTTGGGACCCTGCACCTGTGTGGGAGACCCGGAAGAGCTCCTTGCTCCTGGCTCCGGACTGGCTCAGCTCCAGCTGTTGCATTTGGGGAGTGAATCATCGGACGGAAGATCTTCCTCTCTGTCTCTGTATATCTGCCTTTTCAACAAAAATAAATAAATCTTAAAAAAAAAAAAAAAAAAGGCAGGGTGAGAGGCCAGCACTGCGGCTTGGCAGGCTGAGCAGGCGCTCCACAGTTCAGCCTGTGACCCAGCTTCCTGCGAACGGTCAGGAAATCAGAAGATGGCCCAAATGTTTAGGCACCTGCCATCCACATGGGGGGACAGCAGGAGCTTGTGGCTTCTGGCTTCAGCCTGGCCCAGCCTGGCTGCTGTGGACACTCGGGGAGTGAACCTGTATGATGGGAGATCAATCTCTCTTTTAAGGAGAGTCAACGTTTTGTCTTTTAGGGACAATGTGCACAAACAAATCTAAGTGATCGTGATTTTTAAGTGAATTTACCTGATGTATTGTATACGTATTAGCCAATTCCTCTTCCTTGGTAACCAGATGGACCTATTAAAAACAATGAAATATGATTCCCAACGTCCCAGATTCCCTCAGCACCCCAGCCCCATTCTGTGCGACCTGACTCCTGGACAAGCACGCTCCCATCAGGGTCTCCCAGGGCTGCACCTGCATGAGCCTGTCCAAGCACCAGACTGTTCTCCAAGTTGGGCCGTCCTCGACTGCTTTCCCAGGCCACAAACAGGGAGCTGGATGGGAAGCGGGGCTGCCGGAATTTGAACTGGCGCCCATATGGAATCCCAGTGTGTGCAAGCCAAAAAGACTTAGCTACTTGGCTACCGTGCCGGGCCCATGCCTATCAAATTTAGATAAATATATATATATATACACAGAGACATACTTGAACATCTCTTATCCTTTCGTGCTCTAACACTCAGTCATGTTATGGTGCTAACTACATAAAGTATGCTCCAGTGCTTTCACTGATTTTTGAAACTTGTCTGTGAAGCGGAGGTGATGATGCTGCAGCACAGTAAGCTGCTCTGCATCTGAGTCGTGTGATGTATTTCCGGGTCAATGACCTACTTCAGGCGCAGCACACCGGAAGCACTTCACTGGAGGCAACGTCTCTAGGTCATTAACAGGAAAAGGGCAAATCTGGCTCACACCTTGCCTATCCAAGTCACACTCGGGGCTGGGGCAGCACACCAGGCCGATCCTCCCCTTGCAGAGCTGAGAATCCACAGGAGTGCTGGGTCAAGTCCCGGCTGCTCCACTTCCATCCAGCTTCCTGCTTAGAATCTGGGAAGGTAGCAGAGGCCGGCTCAAGTCCTTGGTCCCTGCACCCACATGGAGGACCCAGAAGAAGCTCGTGGCTCCCGGCTGTGGATGGGCTCAGCTGTGACCATACAACCATTTGTGGAGTGAGCCAGCAGATGAAAAACCTCTCTAGGTCTCTACTTCTCTCAGTAAACTCTGCCTTTCAGATAAAAATAAGTAAATCTTTAGAAATAAAATACACACATTACATGCCCCATATATCATTACTATAAAAACCTATTTTTCCTGCCTTTTCAGAGTTTGAGCTTTAAGCCTCCAATTCCTACTTTTTTCTTCTCGATGTTAACAGAATACGATTTCTGGTGGCACAGACTTTAATGAAAGTATCCAGAAAATTCTAGCAAGACATGGCCAAACCAGACTGCTGCTCTGGAAGAGCCCCTGCTGTGAAGTCAGGACAACAGCCGGGGTAGTACTTTCAGAGGGACCCTCGGGGGCATGACTTGCACTATTGTCTTTAAAGGAAGCTTTACGGCCCCTCACTCCACAGCAGTCTTATTTTACCATTTACCGGTAAGCACTAAGCCTCATCTGGCAGCAAAGTAGAAGACAGTGATGAGGAAACGCAAATAAAAGAAAATAACCAGTGTGTTCAAAGTGTCTCTGCCTCCCACAATACGCACGCTGGTGTCGGATTGCTCCCTCTCGTCAGGAGCGTGGCCCACGCGCACCAGGTCGCCTGCCACCACTCTGCTTCCGTAGGCCCCGAGCCTGTAAGACACAGCCTCATTCCAGACTTGGCTGCTGTAGGCATGGACGTAGAACATGCGCATGGCGTAGGGCAAACAGAACCACACATCTTTACAGCCCTCCTCCGTCAGGCCGAAGCGACGCAGGGACTCCAGCAGGGCTCTCTCTCGAACTTTGAACTCAGGCATCATTGCGAGCGTGCCTTTGGCATCCTCTGAAAGAGCAAACCAGAGTCAGCCCCGGGGACTCGGAGGCCAGCCCCGCAGGCCTGTGCCGGGCAAGAGTCGTGAACATCACACGAACGTGCTAACGCTACTCTAAACCCGGCCACACTCACGCGCAGGTCTGAGACAACGGCACTCCTAGGCCTCACTCAGCTTCAACAAAGAGCAGGAGAGAAAGGAGCTGTGGGCACACTTGGGACAGCTGCATCTCCTCCGCCCCCGCTGCTCCACTGCGGACCCAGCTCTCCGTTCCTGCACAGCTGGGAGGCAGTGGCTGGCAGTGGGGACCTGGGCTGGAGTGGCTGGCTTGTGGCTTCAGCCTGGCACTATCCTACTGTTGCAGGCACTTAGGCAGTGAACCAAGACAGAGAAAGCTTCTCTGTCTTTCCTTCTCTCTCTCATTCTGCCTTTCAAATAGATAAATAAAAATTAAGCAAAGAAGCCAAGCATTGGTAATCGCGTGCCACAGATCTTCACATCAGAATAAACTACAAACAAAATACTCAGTTTAAATACACTGCTGAGCTGGTAGGGACTGGCAATTCCTTACTGCTGATTTCTTCATATGTACACACACACACATATGCACACAATATGCATAAATAATATAAATGTACATATACACACAGACTCACACACATATACACACATTTCAGAGAGAGACAGGTGGATGGATGCTTGGATAGGCAAGGAGCTGGAGAACTCTCACTCACTGGTTTACTGCCTAAATGACCAGCCCCTCCTGGCCAAGACTGGGTCCAGGTGAAGCCAGGAGGGCGGCAGGGACTCTGCTGCTCGAGCCGTCACCTGGTGCCTCCCAGGACACACATCTGCAGGGAGCTGGAGTCAGGGGCAGGAGCGACACAGACCCTCCTAAGGATGTGAAGTGCCCATCCCAGGAGCTAGAGACTGGACAGCTGCGATCGTGGCTACACAGAATTTCTAGAACCAAAAAGGACTGTGATCTGGATGCTGCAAGAGCACAGTCACCAGCCAAGGTGATGCTTTCTCAGATGCAGCCCACTGCACCTGCCAGCAGATGCTTACTTGGGTGGGGCCTTGAACTGGACTGAAACACACCCGGGGTTTCTCACACAGGCTGAGGAAATGAATCATCACGTCACACCTGTTCACGTGGGACTACCAAAGCCAAGCCCGTGCCACACACGTTCGGTCACAGACACCGGTCCTTCCTCCTGCTGAGCACTCAGCAACTGCCACATTTACTCAGCTTTCAAAATCAAGAGGGCCGAGCAGTGACGACATCAAAAACCACACATGAAGCACCGGACAGTGTGGACGAGCTCTCGCCAGTTAACACCTGTCTCCTCCAGCTGTGACGAATGACTCTGCCATCAGTTCTGTTTGCACAACATCATCAGTGCTGGTACACACACAATTGCCACAGCAGGCTTAGCATTTGAACTCCCCTCTTCCCACAGGATGTTGGCCAAGGAACCCGAAAAAAATATTTCTCTGCTACCTCTACCCCAAAGCAAGAGTCAGAACAGACAAAATCCCAGAGATTTGGCAACAAACGCATGGGTCATGGAACAAAATGGTTCATCATACAACACACAACAATCTACGCCTTCTCAGTCATGTCTGCTGGTCTAACTTTTACATTACTCAGCTACCTGATTTTGTTTAGGTTAAAGCAGTTACACAACATACCAGTTTCAAGAAAATATCTCTTTGCTCTATTTACAGGATCATCCACATCTTCTGGTGTCAAAAATAATTTTACAGACTTCACCTTGAGAAACCAAGCAAACAGATACTGAATTAAAAAAAGGAAAAGATTCAAACTCTGGCAACTTAAAAGTTTACGCACTGAATAAGGATATTTGATGCTATGATTTTCTCAACAGGCTTTCAAAAACTAAACCACATTATAAATAGAAACACCTCTGTACAAAATAACTCTATTAACAGGCTTAAAGCATCATGGGCAAAGAGCCCATCCCTTCCAGACTTTTCATTCTCATTCTTCGCATCTGCTGCCATGCTACAGACACGATGTGAGGGGAGACCCAAGTCCTCAGATTTCACCAATACCTACAGGAAAAAACATCAAGTCACACATTACTTAGGTTCATAATTCCCTGAACTCTTTGATCTTAAAAATAACTGCCATAACATCAAGAAGTTGCCAGTGTTACCATTTTATGGTAAACCAAAAATAATAGATGTGCTTTTCTTAGATGCTGTTAACTAGTTTATATTTTTTATCACGGTCTCCAGCACTAAGATTTATTCCTGACTATGTGTCTTACAGTAGAGAAGGTTCTTAAAAGAGATTATCCAATCCAAAGTCCTACCCAATTGTTCTTTTTTCAGCATTCACTCATTGAGATATTCATTATGACAGTAACAAATGGACTGGACCTATGCCATGTGCTTGGTGCTGTGTGAGGGATCCTGGTTGAGGGACCAGGGACAGGCAGTTGAGCAGGAGACGGCAGATGTTCACCGTGCCAACGGAAGACTCGGTGACAACCACAAGACACACTAACTTTGGGGGAGAGGCGTATGCTGCTGCAGCCCTGGGCTACGGGGGCTCCACCTGCCCTGACGTTCAGAAGACCACAAAGGCCAGGGAAGCAGCGTTTCTTGGCAGAGAAGGACCTGGCACTGAGTGCCAAGACCAGCCTCGCGGACAGTCCACAAACAGCTGTAACACCTAAAACTCACGCTTGGCAGCGGCCTCTCCACACTCACCAGCTTGTGGAGAACAGAGGAAATCATCTCAAATCACAGCTTGTTAAGAGACACAGTGGTCGAGCCTGGTATGATGGCCTAACAGCTAAAGGCCTCGCCTTGAATACACCAGGATTCCACATGGGCACCAGTTCTAATCCCAGCAGCTCCACTTCCCATCCAGCTCCCTGCTTGTGACCTGAGAAAGCAGTTGATGACGGCCCAAAGACTTGGGACCCTGCACCCACATGGGAGACCTGAAGGAAGTTCCTGGCTCCTGGCTTTGGACTGGTACAGCAGCGGCTATTGCGGTCACTTGGGGAGTAAATCATCGGATTGAAGATCTTCCTCTCTTGTCTCTCCTGCTCTCTGTTTATCTGACTTTGTCATAAAAATAAATAAATCTTAAAAAAGAGAGAGAGAGAGAGATACGGTGTTTTCTGCTCCTTCTCTCATTCAGCCCCCACCCCACAAGCAGTGCTGCTGTAGAAACCAAGTCTCGAGCCGACACCGTGCTTGTTTTCCTGGCAGTATACCCATGCCACGAGACATCCGAGAGGCAGCCCGGACCGTCTGAGATCCTGAGCCCTGCTAGGTGCCCCCAGACTGCCAAGTCTCAGGAAGGAAGCCACAGAAATGCCCGATTGCCAGGGCCAGGGAGCCTTTTTTTGTGCCAAGGGTCACATGGACACTTATAACATCACTTTCAGGCCATACGGTATCAATAATAAAACAGATCAAATTGTTTTTTAAAATTCATACCATCTCATTCTTCAGCAAGGCCAATCCAATTTGGTCCGTATGAACTTTCTTTCCCTTCCCAAATCTTTGAGGTCCATAGTAATTCACAAAGCCTTTATTCTACAAAGACAAAATAGCCAACTAAGAGAAAAATACACACAATTATGTCAAACTATGTCATCACAGTTTTAATGCAAGAATTCTGCAATCACCAGTAACTGCACAGGACCGTACTGTCTGAGACATACTAAGTGCTCGTTTCCTCTGACCATAGGACAGTCTCAGGCCTGAGCCTTACTCCTTCTGGATTCTTCTGTTTTCCTCTGACCATAGGAACAAGAAGCAGGTTTATGTTCAAATCCTGCAAGTTACGGCTCCCTTATGCAATCATATGCTCCTCAGGAGGCCCCAGTTTCTGAAATCCTGAGCCAAGAAAATGCCACATGGTCCTGGGGGACAGCAGCACCCAAGTGGCCCCTCGATTCCAAGAAATGGACACACATTTCACACCTGGACAAGATTCTGGAGGCCAAGTTTTCAAACTGTCACCTTATTACTGCAGGCTTTAAAGACTGGCCACTAGCTAAGCCTGGACTCACTAGAGTCCACCAGCACCGGCCAGTTTCTGGAAGGGCAGAGGAGGTGTCCTCACCCTCTCTGCAAGGAGAACACACACTTCCTCAGCCAACAGCTGCTGCCCATCACCAGGCTGGCCTGCTCAGGCCGAAGGGCCGACACAAGCCGTCCTGGACAGGGACAAAAGGAACTGCACCTTTTGCTTTTGTCACTCATGAACATCAGGTGCAGACCAAATAAAGTCTCCCTGAAGCAAACCTCACAGCTCAGAGGTTCTGATAATACCGAGTTTGGACAAAGCAACATTAGATAAAACCTCTGAACAATCATTTTCCCCAGCAAATCACAAAAAAAGAAAAAAAAAAAAAAAGGCTTACAATGGAGATACCCCCTGTAAAAGAAAATGCAGATTCCTGTTTTCACGGTTTCTCAATACACTCCCCTAATCATGAAACCCACCAAAGCTGGCTAAAGCTGAGATGACTTCTAACAGGAGGTCCTAATTCTTAACTGCCTATTGATAAGTACCAAGGAAAGATGGACAATCAACGCCATCAGAGTTCAGAGAAGCCACCTCTATTTTCAGGAGAGAAGATGTTAGCAGCAGCTTTTCAGAGGGAATAAAGGCAGAACCACAGCAAGATCCATCAACAAGAAAGGTCCAAATCACGCCAGGGCATTTCACCCGAGAATGCCCGTCTACATGCGGGCAAAGGGCCTCTGAGGAAGGACCACCGAGGCCAGTCAGCTCACTGCAGATGTCTACCTGCTTGAGAGGCATAAGCTGCTTCTCAGGGTCAGCTACAGGGCAGAATCACTTCAAGAGCTTTAGAAAAGGCGCATGCCACGGCCAGCAATGTGCCATGTGAGTTAAGCAGCAGCCCGCAGTGCCAACATCCCACACAGACTCCAGAGCGAGACCAGGCTGCTACACTTCTGATCCAGCTTCCTGCCAGTGTGCCTATGAAAGCAGCAGAAGATAGTCAAGTTCCTGGGCCCTGGCTTGCATGCGTGGTTCCTGGTTGCCACCCAGCTGGCACCAGCCACTGCAGCCATTTGCGGGGTGAGCCAGTGAGTACATCTCTCAACCCTCTCTCTCTCACTCTTTTCCTTGACCCTGCCTTGCAAATAAATAAATCTTAAAAGACAATATATAAACATACCTAAGTCATTAGACAACACATTGCCCTTTGACTGGCTTCAAACTGGAAGGTGCTGAGATCTTTAAAAGGCTGCTCAGGCTGGAGGCCCGGTGCAGTGGTGCTGCAGCCTACTGTCCATCCTGTGGACACTGGTGCTTCTCCCAGCTGCTCCACTTACAATCCATCTCTGCTTATCACCTGGGAAAGCAGCAAGGATGGCTTAAGTCCTTGGGACCCTGCACCCATGTGGCAGACCTGAGGAGGCGCCTGGCTCCCCTGGCTTCAGATCAGCTGGGCTCTGGCTTTTGCAGCCATCTGGGGAGTGAACCAGAGGACAGAAGACTTCTCTCTTTATCTCTCCCTCTCTGTGAAGTCTGCCTTCCAAGCAAAAATAAATAAATCTTAAAAAGAAAAAAACCTGCTTTGGCTGAGAACTACTGGTCTAGGCCAAAGGTCAAACACCTAGTGCCTTCAGGTAATCAGCCCCACGCACATTTCTGTAAATAAGGTTTTGCTGTTACACAGCTCATGCCTGTCTGTGGTGCCTCCACGCAGCCGACGGATCGTCACTGAGCCCTTCGCAGTAGGGACAACCAGACTGAAGCCTACAGCTATACACATGGATTAACATGTCAGGCAGCTCTCACGTAAAAATGTAGGTAGTCTTATCATAAGATATTAAAATATGACTTGCAACTCATTTGAAGAAAATTCAACATTAGGTTAAAAAGAAAAAAAAAGATTGCATACAATTCTGAAATATAATCATTTACCAAGAATTTTGAAGATAATCGTTGAACAAAATTTACAAACAATAATCCCTCTTCTATCTGGGCAGTTCCTAAAATGAATCTTTATGTTTTGCTTTAATACAAAAGTACGTTAAGAAAAAAAAATACCAACTAGGCTAACGGCCCCAAAGATCTCTTTACAGAGGTGTCAAGCGGGCCTGGGGCTGGCCTGGGGCTGGCCTGGGGCTGGCCAGCCACCCTGGAGCGCAGGAGCAGGTCCCTAATGACCTCTTTACAGAGGTGTCACTCGGGCCTGGGGCTGGCCTGGGGCTGGCCGGCTGCCCTGGAGCGCAGCAGCAGGTCCCTAATGATCTCTTTACAGAGGTGTCAGGCGGGCCTGGGGCTGGCCTGGGGCGGGCCTGGGGCCTCCCTGGAGCGCAGCAGCAGGTGCAGCCAGTCTTTACCTTCACAGTTTCGATGGCCTCCAGGACCCTCTCGGCCACGGGTGCAGAGTCGCCGGGCTGACTTCTTACATCCCTGACCACAATGTCAAAGTGGTTTCCTTGCAGCTGGCCGAGCCTCAGGGCCTCGCTCGCAGGCCGCACGTTAAACACATTCATTCTCTTATTCTCGACGATTTTCTCAATATCTTTAAACCTGTAGGTGACATGTCACACAAACTCAGCTAAATCTTACACTTACATTTTGCTTTAATAGAAGGGTTTAAAAGCTAGTTGCTGGGCGACCCATGTATGAGAACAGTAATAGAGATTATTTTGCATTCTTATTCGTACATCTGTTATTTCAATAAATGTTTACTACTTACTCAGGTGGATAATACTAAGAGTTCAGTCAAAGCATACTTCCTGCCGCCCTGGCCCCGCACATGTGCATCACGCCAGGACACACCGCAGGCAGGTTTCTTCAGGCTCTCACCCGGATCTGCCCCTTCTCTCCTAAGACTGTCCTGACAACACGCCAAGGAGAATCCCTCGGAACTGAGACTTCCCCCTTACACTTTAATCCTTCGCAACACCTGTATGCTACATTCCAGGCGGCTAAACCCAACTTTCAGACTCTGCAGGGGATCAGAGAACTCTCCCATTCCATCCACCTTTCCTACGGTTTTTCAGGGAGTCATCAGCTCTGTTAGACAGCCTTTACTCGAGCTGAGTGTCCCTTCAGAGCTCTGGGATTTTACATCTGGTAAAATCCTACCAGGACTTAAAAGGAACTCAAAATGGACATCCCTCAGTAATGAAGGCATCCCGCTTTCCGTCACTGCCTTTCGTAATTAAGAAGCAGCCTTTGGCCTAAACACGCCTGCTCACACCTGCAGTTCTCGGACCCACACGGCTCCAGGCCTCGGAGGAGATGAGGGGCACACGGTCACACGCAGAGTGGACACTGGCCGCCTGACAAGCAGTGGCCGGCACATCAGGGCTACCTCACTCAACTTTCCAGAGTTATCTGAGTCAATATCCGTAAGACACGGACGCGCCAGAACCGTTAGCACAGTCCTCTTTACAGAAAACGCTGGGAGTCTAAAACAAATCAGTCTGATGACAGGTGCGATTCTGAAATACTTTGTGACATAAACTTTTATATAGCAATATTTAACATTTAGAGTGTATTCATTTGAAAGGCAAAGAAGGTCAAAGTGAGAGAAGAAAGCTCCACCTCCTGGTTTACTCCAGTACAGCCAGGGCAGGACCACACCAAAGCCAAAGACCCAGAAATCCACCCAGGCCTTCCATGCGAGCACAGGGACCCACGCACTGGAACCACACCAAAGCCAGAGACCCAGAAATCCACCCGGGCCTTCCACGCAAGCACAGGGACCCATGCACTGGAACCACACCAAAGCCAGAGATCCAGAAATCTACCCGGGCCTTCCACGCGAGCACAGGGACCCAGGCACTGGAGACACCATCTGCTTCCCTTTCCACTTTCCCCAGATACAGGAAAAAAAAAAGGAGTTTGGAGGCAGTTGTCTTATCCACTTTCACCCATTCCTCCACCCTTCCCACGTTAATTGGCTTTCCACATGGGCATGCATCTTTCTCAACTACTTAGAAGCATCATCAAAAATAAACTGTATTATTAAAAAAAAAAAAAGCAAGCAAGCAGAGATGGGGAAGCGGCACAGTGGCTCAACAGGCTAATCTTCCGCCTGCCAGTGCCAGCATCCCATATGGGCACTGGTTTGTATCCTAGGTGCTCCACTTGCAATCCAGTTCCCTGGTTATGGCCTGGAAAGCAGAGGACAGTCCAAGTGTTCGGGCCCCTGATGAGAACTGTAGTCAGAAGAGCTTCCCCAGCGCGCAGTGCCGCTCTGCGGGCAAGTCCGTGCTGACAGCGCGAGGCACACGAAGGCGCCCCCACGGAGCCATTACCTCTCCGGGGTCACTTTCCTAACCACCATGGCTTGGTAGGTGACGGCCTTCTTGTCCTTCAGGCCTGCATAGCTGAAATCTGCAGGAGTCACACCAAGTTTGGCAGCTAGAAAATCAATTGCTTCAAACATTTCCACATTTTCCTTTCGGAGGGTAAAAGCTGAAACAAAATTAATCCTTGGTTATAAGAAAAGCAGTTTCCACATGTCAATCACATTCTTAGGCGACTAACGGATTAGTGTAATGACACAATTACACAAGACTATCTTTAAACAAAACACTAATAAACATCACAGAGTTCCACTATTATTTTGAAAACACCAGCTGACTCCAGACGTACGGAGTGGGAGCTCAGACACAGTGGGTTCAGCATCAGAAGCCCACAGCCCATAGCAGAGTCCCGGCCAGCGTCCCGCCTGCTCTGCTTCCGATGCAGCTTCCTGCTGATGCTACTGGCAAGGAGCTGGGTCTGTGCTGCCCGGCAGGAGATCCAGGTGCAGGTCCTGGTTCCCACCTTAGCCCGACGTCTCTCCTCCTTCCACACACTGCCTTTCAACAAACAGATGCTTTAGAAAAGAGATAGAAATTTAAAAAATCAAGTTCCTTAATGTGGGATTTGTATTCAGCCCAAACACACTTTGGTTTCCCAGGTGCTACTTCCACTCACACCTCCCGTGATCCTGAGCTAGAGATGCGCTAGAACATTCTTCAGCTTTGCATTCTGGCACGCGGGGCCCCAAAAGGCATGCATTCTCTCACTCACTCCTGTTCCTTCCTCAGAAAGCCACAACAGAGGCACTTTGCCCGAGAATTCTTTTCAGACACTAAGACCCCAGGCAAGGATTAAGCTGCTTTTGTTCACCACTATTGTATCCTCATTCTAGAACACGTGAAAGAACAGTCAAGCACTTGTGGACACAAGGGGAAATGTGTGGCCCAGACAGGAGCTGACTGCTGCATGCTGCACACCTCCACGAGCGATGACTGCATGCAGCACCCAGCACTCTCGCGTCTGCTTCCCCCCAGCGAACGCAGCTCCAGGACAGCAGTGCACTGTCACCACACCTGCCTCCACAGCGGGCCGCTCAGCGCAAGCGCAGAGAGCCAGCAGCCAGTACTTCCGGCCAGGACAATGCTGGCCACGACACTGGGAACATCCGGCCCAGAGGATATCACTGCCTGACTTGCCTGCACTATTAGCCCACTGCCCGAGTACAAAAGTACGTTTTTAGCCACAAAACTGTAAAATTTAGAATAGTGACATTTAAGACAATCAGATCTTTGAATGTTAAGGAGAATGAGACCTGTTCAATTATAAACATTTAACTGATTTATATTTATCTTTTCATGTTAATTCTTAAGTTAATGAGCAATATGGAAACATTCATATAAACTTAATGGTCACGAATTTATGAGTTTAATTTGTAAAGTTTATAGCATATCCCTAATCACTTGGGAAAATCAAAGTATTCAAAAGAACAACAACTAAATCAAATTTTAAAATTCAATTTCAGAGACTTATACTTTAAGCCATGCTGAAATAATTTGGAATCAGACAACCTCCCATGGCAAATAAACAGAAAACTGGAGCAAACATTGAAACCACACGCTTTCAGACAATGAGGAACAAGGCACCTCAAGACTGTGATCCCAAAGAAAAGCCAGTGTGAACCCCCAAAACCTCCTGGTGTAGCCCAGAGCCCCAGGAGGGCACAATGATCCTGCAGGGTAGAGGGTGAGATGTGCCTGGGAGTGCAGCGGGCGACGGCCCAAATGCTTGGGTCCTGTGGCAGACTCAGACATGGGTCCAGGCTCCTGGCTTATAGCTAGTCCAGATCTGCCTGTTTATCTACCTGGAGAACCAGCAGATAGGAGAGCCCCTTTTCTCTCTCTGCTTTTCCATCTTTCAAATAAACAAATATTTTTAAAAAGTAAATACTACAGAAAAAAAGAAACTTTCTATCCTTCAAGTAGGGAACAGAAAAGTTATGCCTGGATTTGCACCCCATGGTAGGTCTTAGCTCCATCTCCTAAAACACGAATTCTAGGAACACTGCCGCAGAGCAGCAGCAGCCCCAAGAGTGCTGCCCGAGCACCTGCAGACGCCCCCCCGAGAATGGTGGGCAGAGATTCCCCTCCCGGCTGAACACATCCTCCAGCAGACTCAGAGGCGAGGCGAGCACTGCAAAAACTCCTTCCTCTCTCTAAACGCTTCATTTCAACTAAAGTGGCTTTCAGATCCCTGGGTACTGACATGGTTGGACTGCTGGGAGCAGCCCTCTCCCCTTCTCACCCCACCTGCCCCAGATACAGGAAGAAAAAAGGAGATTGGTGGCAGCTATCTTACCCGCTTTCCCCCATTCCTCCTTCCTCTGCACCTAGCTGAATGGATCCCTCTCAACTATGTAAACATCATCAAAAATAAAACGAATTATTATTAATATATATATGAAATTGGCACTCACTGTCAATTCTTAGTGCAAAATAACCGTTCCACTTTGCCCATGTCTGTTACCCACTCTTTCATGAATAAGGATCATTTCCGCTCTCAGAGTAAACTACAAATCTTTATGTTCCACTAAGCAACACACCCACGTGTTCCCTCCGATTCCGCTCTGCTTCATTCACTTGAGCTTCTTCGCACAAATCTTCACTTTAAAAGCGACAACGGCGCACTGAAGTACCTGTGTGCGCGACCTCTGCCCACTGGCCGAGGGACCCCTTCCTGGCCTTGTGCGCTCTGTCCCGAAATCTCACTGTCACCACCACCTTCGGGTCTCTGGCACTGCCACCCAGCTCAGGGAAAGACTTGGACTCCACGAGGCCCCCAAATCTTTTGTGGACAAAAAGGTGGACAGCTCTTCTGCGTTCTTTGTTCGTATCAGGCTTAAAAGAAAAGGTGGAATTTTCTTCTTTTGCATTCAAATATGTAAAAAAGCCAGCTGCTTCTTCTTCGGACACCAAGTGACAGAGTTCTTTATACCTAAGATTTGGTTTTACAACAATTGCACTGTCTTTTATTAAAGTTATTAAAAAAGGAAATTTTTGTCTCACAGCCGTATGTAAAGCAGCCCTCTGGTTTTTGTTACAAGTTTTGGCCAAGGGAAATTCAGGAGATGATTCAACCAGCTCAGTCCCTGAATTCCACTTCTCTTTCAATTCAAGGGCAAACTCACTCAGCTGCTCATTTGTTTTTTCATCTAAAAACGAGCTTATCACGTCCGCTGCATCTTCTTCAGTCTTGCAGGTCCTACCACTGAGGGGACCTTCCTGGTCGCCAGGCGACCTGTCTGAACCACGGGGGTCCGCATCGGGGCACCTGGCCGCAGCATTAGCCCCCTGGCTACTACCTTCATCACCGGACACGTTTTGAAGATCCAGTTTTGGCCTTTTGGCCAAATTGTCTGGCTCAACAACGTGGCTCTTGCTGGTAAGTTCATCAAGGGGCTTAGTGACCAACCTTCCCTGTTCGTCAAGCTCGGTAACCACGAAGTCACTTGGAGAGCTTCTGATGCTGCCGCAGAAGCCAATGTGATCGCTCATGAAACACAAAGAATCACGCCAGCTCCTGTCACCGGCATCCTCCTCCATTCTCAGCTATCCCTGCAAAAGAAGCACAGGGACACTTACCACAAAGGAACAGGTTTGCACGTCTTTAATTCGGCATCGTTTTTAATTTTGAGTTTCCTGAAGAGAACTGAGTAACTTGTACCTATGCCTGTATATTCCGACTTCTCTGGGTGAACCGGCAGGTGGACAAGCCAGGTTAAGTGCTGACCTGTGTCCTGCCTTCCATGCTCCAGACTAGACTCGCCATCCGAGCCTCAACTGGGCCATTTCAGTATTTGTGGGTCCACAAACAAGAAACCAGGGATGCACAGTGATCTGCCTAAACCCCACACTGGAAGCGTCAAATGTTCAGCTAATTCCAAAGAACTTGACGCGTCAGGGTTGGCGACACAACAGGGAAACGACCGTGGGTGAAGCTCTGACCCTCCTAGCTTCTGGTCCCACCCCAAGAAGGCATGTCGGCCAGGACAGCCGCAGCACTGGCCAGGGGGGAGAGGCAGCTCTCGCCCACGCTCCTAGCCGAGGGGTGCAGCGGCGCCCTCAGTCAACCCCAGAGAAGGCATCCAACCAACAGGCCACCCCGCTGGGGGCGTCCTCTTTCACACACACACAATGCTATTTAGCTTCCCACAAAACATGTCTAGCCAGTTCTTCCTAAAAAATTCTTTGTTGTCCGTCCGTGAGGTGGGCGGCACGCGGCCCTGACGGACGGGGTGCGACGTCCCGAGGCGGCCTCCGTGCTAGCAAGGCGAGCGGCCACGCGGGGCCAGCGCTTCTCCCCAGACACCTTACCTGGCCAGCTGGGCCAGCCGTACGCACCGACCGCTAATGCCCGGCAGAGGCGCAGTGCGCATGCCCGGAAGAAAGCTTTGAAAAGGGACAGACACCATCCGGTAGTTCCCCATCCAATGACGAGCCGGCGGGGGCGGGGCACGACTGGGTGTGGCGCGGCGGGGCGTGGCGGGGGCGTGCCCGCCGGCCCGAGCCCGGCCCCTCCCTCAGCCTCGGCCCCTCCCTCAGCCTCGGCCCCTCCCTCAGCCTCGGCCCCTCCCTCAGCCTCGGCCCCTCCCTCAGCCTGGACCCTGCAGGTAAGCCGCGGTGGGCGCCCAGGGGTCCGGGCGCCGTCCGCCTCGCACGGCCCCGGGTACGGAGGCGCGCTCCCGCGGGGAGGCCAGGCGGGCCGGCCTCGGGCAGCCGGCTTCCGGGAACGGAGCGGCGGGCGGGGATGTGAGCGTGTGGGAAGTGCGCGGGGCGCTGAGGGCGCTGGGCGAGGGGCTGAGGGAGCCTTGCGTGGCTGCTGTGGGGCCGCAGGTCCGGGGTGCCGCCCCTCGGGGCCCTCGGCTGGACACGGCGCGGCGTCCCGCGGGAGAGGCGGGATGGCCAGCGGGAGAAGGGCCCGGGGAGTTAGTGTGGTGGCCACGGGAGCATGGACGGCGGGCCTGCGGGTTTTCCTTGAGCGCCAAGCGAAGGCATCCGTGGGAGGGCTGAGGGCTCGGCCCTTTCCCCAGGCCCCCTGCCGCACCCTCGCTAGCGGAACGCGGGGCTAACCCAGAACTCTGTGAACGCTCCTGGCTGCCTGTTGTGGCTCCCTGTGCCCTGGCAGAGCAGGCCGTGGCACCTGCAGAGTGTCTCGGCTGTTGGCTGTCTGCTTTCCACAGGCCGAGCACTGCCCCGGCCCAGCTGCGCGCCCCAGCTCTCACCTGACCCTTGGGGGTGCTGGGGGTCCCCACACACTCAGCTCCCCCCGGGGTGCCTGGCCGGCCTCCGTCCTGGAGCCCCGATGTGAGGCACACGCGTGTCCACACACATGTAGTTGAGCTTCCTGCTGGTTCCGCAGGAAGGTTCTGGTCTTGGTGTATTTGCTGTGGCCACCTGGCCCCTCGTACTTGTCCCAGTTGGCTTATTTCAAACTCTGTTTGGTTAGCTGTGGCTCCTGGTGTGAGGAAGTAACCCGGAGGCAGTTATCTCCGCATTTGTGTGCAGTAAGCCCTGAGCAGCCTCTGCAATCCTGAGTATGCTTAACTACGCCTAGAGCAGTTTGAAACAGGAATCTTTTTCATTTTTTTTTGTATAAATACTGTATTTTATCACTGAAAATGAGGATGAGCAAGGTAGAAAAGAAAAACCACCATTAAAACCATAAACATGAAAAGTGTTTAAAAAGTCCATAGAAATGCACAATGCAGGGAAAGTTATAATATAGTGAAATATATGAGTCACTTAGTGTGGTACCATGTGATGGTTTCATCCATTCCCGAAATGAATTCTAACAGCAATAACATGGACAAGTCCTAATTATCTGTTACTGAAAAAATTTGGTTTGGCCACCGAACTCGTGGAGCTTAAAGAATTGTGCGGGATGCAGTGAGAACAGTGCAGGCAGGTGCAAGGTCGTGTGCAGGGATGGGAGACCGACGGGGGGAGAGCAAGTGGACAGGCTTAGATGTTAAGACCAGGTGCCGAAGAGAAGAACTGAAACCCTACTAACTTAGAACTCTGGGGTGCCGAGAGGTTTGCTTCATGCTCTTCCTGCTTTTGAATTTTGTGCCGTATAAATGCATTATTTACTTCAGAAAGTGATTTTTCTAAAAATAGAAATATACAGAGAAGCAGAAATGATGCAGAGTATCTGTCTTAATTGAAAGGAGCTTTCGCCACATACTTGGAGTGAGGAGTGTGGACAGGGCAGGCCGGTCTCTAGGGCAGGGAGAAGGATGCGCGGCAGGGGCAGGTCCCTGGGACAGGCTTCACTCACTCCGTCCGGAGAGCGCCTTCAGCAGGCTGATGTCCGGGTCGCATCGGGAGATTTGTCTCTGCCTGCAGCTCCCCAGGACTGAATAGCAGAAATATGGGGACAAGCTCCAAGTGAGCCACAGCTTTGGGTGTGTTAAGGAAAAGCCATCAGACAGATTTCATAAACTCAAAATGATGCAGGATTCCAGAGAGTGCCTGCCAGGTGAAAAGCTGGTAGATGGGCCTTATCTTTGAATACTAGGATGTTATTTCAGTAAACTTTTTATTTATTTCTATAAAGACTATTACATGAATTGTTAGTACTTATAAGTACTGATTGAGAAACATGTTTTAAATACAGAGGTAAATCTTATTTTTAAGAGATTTGATTCCTGGATATGCTGAAAGGAATATTCTGACAGTCAAAGTTTTTCTCCTTATTGTAAATTTCACTTAGAAAACCTCAGTATCGGAAAAAAGTCCTCCGATTAAACAAATACAATTTTAATTTCTATCAGCTAGTTGACTTTGGTATTGTTTGTTTCCAACATTTCCTATGATGCATAAAAGGGCAAGGTGTGTCTCCAAAACCACCGTGATTAAGGAGTATTTTCCGTATTTTAGGCGTAGAAGATGAATAAACCCATAGCACCGTCAACATATGTGCGCTGCCTCAACGTTGGACTGATCCGAAAGCTGTCAGATTTTATTGATCCTCAAGAAGGATGGAAGAAATTAGCTGCGTCTATTAAAAAGCCATCTGGGGATGACCGATACAATCAGTTCCACATCAGGTGACATGAAGTTCTTTTTCTTTTCCAAATTGTCACATCAACATCTGCATGGGTTTGTAGGTGTCTGCTGTTTCGTATGAACTCATGTGGAGGAAATCATGGTGTTAGGAATGCTCCTCTTCTTCAAGATTTATTTAGTTATAATATGTTTTTTGGAAAGGCTGATTTATACATTATAAAAGCTCCCATTGTCTGGTTCACTGCTCAAATGGCTGCAATGCCCAAAGCTAACCTGAATCAAAGGCAGCTGTCAGGAGCTTTTTCCAGGTCTCCCACATGGATGCAGGGTCCCAAAGCTTTGGGTCATCCTCTGCTGCTTTCCCAGGCCACAAGCAGGGAGCTGGGTGGGAAGTGGAGCAGCCAGGACATGAACTGGTGCCCATATGGGATCCTGGTACTTGCAAAGAAAGGATTAGCCAGTTGAGTCAGGATGCTTAACCGCAGGAATCTTATCTTTTGTGCAGTTTGTGTTCCAGTATGTCAGCTAAGCTGATAATGTCATCCTGCAAACTAGGTTTTTGAGGTTAGAACCTAGGGTCTCACCTTTGTTCATGGTCTCTGGCAAGCCCAGAATGGTTCAGTATGTCTCACAATTCTTGTTCCCAAATTGAGGGAACAAGGAAATTGAAGATTGCTTCAAGACTTTAGTAACTTCTGCATTTTCAACTAGGTGACTGATGCATTCTGACAACGTATTTGGGGAGTCATTCAAATGGATTTGAAAGTTGTTGCTTTGAAGCAAATACAACCAAGAACAGCAAGCTTAGCTTGTGGCTCAGTGGCTCAGTCTTCACCTTGGATGCATCAGGATCCCAATTCATGTCCCAGTTGCCCCGCTTCCCACCCAGCTCCCTGCCTGTGGCCTGGGAAAGCAGTTGAGGACGGCCCAAAGTCTTGAGACCCTGCACCTGCATGGGAGACCTGGAAGAAGCTCTGGACTGCTGGCTTTGAATCAGCTCAGCTCCATCTGTTGCAGGCATTTGGGGAGTGAACCACCAAACAGAAGATCTTTCTCTCTGTCTCTCCTTCTCTCTCTTTTACCTTTTACCGCCTTTTATTGGAAAGGCGGATATACAGAGAGGAGAGACAGAGAGGAAGATCTTCCATCCAATGATTGACTCCCCAAGTGAGCGCAGCGGCTGATACTATGCCGATCCGAAGCCAGGAACCTCTTCCAGGTCTCCCACGCGGGTGCAGGGTCCCAAAGCTTTGGGCTGTCCTCGACTGCTCTCCCAGGCCACAGGCAGGGAGCTGGAAGGGAAGCGGGGCCGCCGGGATAGAACCGGCGCCCATATGGGATCCCGGGCGTGCAAGGCGAGGACCTTAACCACCGTGCCACCGCGCCAGGCCCAAATAAATCTTTTAAAAGAATAAAAGCTTAATCTTACGAATTTGTTTGACAGCATCTTCTGCTCCGCTCCTGTCTGCTTGCTGTTGTGTAAAATATAAATGCAGATTTTACTGTCGGTCATTGCAGTTAAAGCCTGTGTCAAAAGCTGTATTTGCGTGTTAATGAATGGGGCAAGCAGAAGATTCTGAGGCACTGAAGATGTTGTCCAGAAATTACGTATGAATTACTGAGGAAAGAGTCTTCTGTAAAGACAAAAATGTGAGGTGCGCTCCCGACAGCGTCCCTGTTGACTGTACAGAGTGCCCGTGGAGATAAGGTGGAAACCCACAGAGTGTCTTTAAGCACGGGAAAGGAGTTAGCTCCCGCCGGGCCTCCGCTGTCAGAGCTGCCCGTTCCCTCTTCCTGCGGTTGCTCTGCGCGTTTCTCCCTGTGTGCCTTGCTGTCTGTTCCCTTGAATACACATAACAGGAGTGATGGGTGAGCCAGCTACATGAATTGGACTTACTGATTTTGCTTCTTTGTTGCTTGCTTTTAAGGAGGTTTGAAGCATTACTTCAAGCTGGAAAAAGCCCCACTTGCGAGTTACTGTTTGACTGGGGCACGACGAACTGCACAGTTGGTGACCTTGTGGATCTTTTGATCCAAAATGAGTTTTTTGCTCCCGCGAGTCTTTTGCTGCCAGGTAAACTGAGCGTGAGCAGGTGTCGGCTGTTTAGTGAGAAGGCGCGTGGCGGCAGGAGAGACATTTCTGGTTTTATAGTGGAAGTCCTTGCATTTCGGAACCCCTTCGCTGGCCCCACCTCTCCGAGCACCCCAGCGTGGGCTGCCATGAACTCTGCTGCTCTGTGGGGGAGCCTCGCTGTTGAGTTGTGTCCCACCAGGAAAGTAGTTTTGTGCTGGTGGAAAGTTCAGAAGGATGTAGGCCTCCGGTACCTAGTGCAGACCGTGGGGCGTTAGTTCTGCTTCTGAGCTCTCGCTGTTTTTCGTCTTCAGCTCCCCTCCTGAGGGGACTGTGATCACGACCTCCCTACATTTACTCTGGTGGCTCGGTATCTAGTTGCTCTCTTCCGTTTCCTTACTTCCTCCTCTTAGCTGCCACTTACTCTCGTGGTTCTCCGGCTTTATCGTGCGTGAGTCAACTGAGAATTTTTGCTGCGTTAGTTATTCCTGGGCTGTATTGTGGACATACTTGAATTCTGGGTTGGGTTCCAGTTCTGCATTCTTAAGCAAGTGCTTCAGGGCCTGATGTGGGTAGTCCAAGAGCCAGCTGGTGAATATGCTGCCCTGCCCTGGTGAGCATGCCGCCCTGCCCTGCCCTGCCCTGGTCAGCATACTGCCCTGCCCTGCCCTGGTGAGCATGCCGCCCTGCCCTGCCCTGCCCTACCCTGCCCTGCCCTGGTGAGCATGCTTCCCTATCCTGGTGAACATGCTGCCCTGCCCTGGTGAGCATGCCGCCCTGCCCTGCCCTGCCCTGCCCTGGTGAGCATGCCGCCCTGCCCTGCCCTGCCCTGGTGAGCATGCCGCCCTGCCTACCCTGGTGAACATGCTGCCTTGCCCTGCCCTGGTGAGCATGCCGCCCTGCCCTGGTGAACATGCTGCCCTGCCCTGTCCTGGTGAGCATGCTGCCCTGCCCTGGTGAACATGCTGCCCTGCCTACCCTGGTGAACATGCTGCCTTGCCCTGCCCTGGTGAGCATGCCGCCCTGCCCTGGTGAACATGCTGCCCTGCCCTGCCCTGGTGAGCATGCCCTGCCCTGGTGAGCATGCCACCCTGCCCTCTGTCCATCCTTGTCACGACTTAGAAACCCGTCCTCGGCAGCTCTGCTTTGGGCTGTGCACTCTGAGAATTGAAGTGGTAATAAGTGAACCATGCTCCTGGTTTAACTTTGTCGGAAATGATTTTTTCCATGGAAGGACGATTTGTGCCTTATTTCTTCTGGCAGATGCTGTCCCCAAAGCTGTCAGCACACTCCCTCCTGAGACAGCTGTAACTGTGCCGCAGAAACCAGTCCCTTTCCATGGCAAGGACAAGACGTCTGTGACCCCTGAACGGAGTCCTCCCCCCGACTCCTCAAGTGCAGCCAGTGCAAGTCTAGAAGACAGTGACACACGTAAGTCACGTTCTCACTGCTTTCCGCTCGAGGGTTTGCAAAGGCCAGGGTGGAAGGGGACACTGGGGACAGTGGTTAGACCCTCCGTGGGGTGCTCGTGTCATGAATCACCGTGCCTCACTTCCTGGTGCCGTCTTCTGGCTGTGGCGCTCTCTGGGCCAGCAGGTGACAGCTCGAGTACTCGGGTGCCTGCCCCACGCGGAAGGCCTGGGTTGAGCTGTAGTTGCCTGGTTTGCCTTGGCCCAGCCTTGTCTCTCGTGTTTGGAAAATGAGTTAGCAGGTGGAGGATCTCTGTCTTCTGCCTTTCAAACAACACTTTGAAAAAGAATAGCATTCAAAATGAGTCACTCCTCTCTGGCAGAAGCAGTAGCTGTTTTGTAGCTGTCTTCACTGTGTTGATCACTGTGTGGTGGGCGAGTGCAGGCAGTTGGATAGGCAGAAAACCACGGAATCTACCAGAAACACATGTACGTGTTCTTACAGAAAACATGTGATGAGTACTTGGGGTGGGAGCCCAGGCCCACCCAAGCCAGGACTAGACTTCCGAATGTGAGTAGAATCAGCAAATAAAAATCTTTTAAGTTAGAACACACACTTCGTATTTTAATAATGGTCTAACCTCATCCTTCCTGCCTAATCTGAACGTGTAAATATTTGCATGTATAAGTAAGACTCTGAGTTCAGAAAATCGTGGAATTATTGGAAGTAATTCCCTTTTTGTTTAAGCACATTTCCCCTGTCTTATTAACATTACAGGTTTTCACAATTTCTCATTTTATGAATTGAAGAGTATCACCAATAACTTTGATGAAAGACCCGTGTCGGTTGGTGGCCACAAGATGGGCGAGGGGGGGTTTGGCGTGGTGTACAAAGGCTGTGTGCGCGACACCCCCGTGGCCGTGAAGAAGCTTGCAGCGGTGAGTAGCCCGCCCCCCCCGCCCCCGGAGAGCAGCAAGGGCGGGCACTGAGCGGTCACTGGGCAGGCACTGAGCGGGCACTGGGCGGGCACTGAGTGGTCACTGAGCAGTCACTGGGCGGGCACTGAGCGGTCACTGGGCAGGCACTGAGCGGGCACTGAGCGGGCACTGGGCGGGCACTGAGCGGGCACTGAGCGGCTTCTGCGTCACAGGGTTGAAGTTAATCTTTAGGAGGCACACTATTCGGCATGTGTTTTCTGTAAATAAACCCAATCTAAATTCATGGTTTTAGTTTTGGGTTTCTTTTCTTTCTTTTTTTTTTATGAAAGAAAGAAAAGTATTTGTCTGTAGGGCCTAGCGACGGAGAGGAGACGCAGGGAGCAGGGAGGTCCTGTTTGCCAACTCCTTTCCCAGCTGGCCGCAGAGGCCACGGCTGGGCCGAACAAGCCGAAGGCAGGAGCTTCCGTTTGAGTCCAGGAACTGTCAGACACTGGTTGGCAGGACATGAGTAGGGAGCGGGCTGGAAGGGGAGCAGTGTCAACAGGCAGCAGCAGAGCCCACGCCACGAGCCTGGCTCTGACGTTGGAAAATCATTGAGAGCTTGGGAGCTGTCACTAGGGAAGTGCAGCTATGCACACGACGCTTAGATTGTACCTGTGGTTAGAGATGCTCCGCTTCCTGTAGTACTTCGTGTGTGCTCAAGGATAAAAAGGCCAACTCCTCAGAAAATTCTGCAAGATTTTTCATCTAAAAATAAAATTTAGAAAACATGCATTAAGGAAAAAGATTGAAATGTTTCTGGTCTGTACCTTCCTACTTATTTCTACAGAGTAGTTTTCTCTTACTTGTTCTATTCTAAATGTACAGTTGGATCCTAAAAATATCAAAATGTATCGGCAGATGATAAATTAATTACTGTGAAACGTATCTGGAAAATGCTTTCATAGGCTTTTGATTTCTTTTACATTCAAATTTGCTTAAGCTTTCTGTTACATGTAACTTTTCCTCAATTTCTTATGTAGTTAATATGACTAAATATTGCTCTTTTTTTTTTCATTTTGGTACAAAAATGACTTAGTAGGGTGTTTTTCTTTTCCTTCAATAACTAGTCATAAAGCATAAGGCAAAATACTAATATTTATTTATCTCAGTTGTTCCATACAGTAAATAAGACCTGTTTTTTAAAATCAAAATCTTCAGCTGAGCCAACAGTTATTGTATTATATGCTTACAATGGTTATTGTATTACATACTTATTTTTTTTCCCAGATGGTTGATATTAGTACTGAAGAACTGAGGCAACAGTTTGAACAAGAAATAAAAGTAATGGCAACGTAAGTGCCTGAAATTGCATGCAGGTACATGAAATCAAGGTATAGCAATAAGACAACAGGAATTTAAAATATTTTCATCTCTGCATTTCCTTGCCTACTTATTTACCTGCCTGTAAATTAAACAGCAATATTTAAAATCAAAGTAAAATTTTATGGAATTTCAGCTATCTTCCATTGCCATGTTTTCTATTCCTAGAATTCATGAGCTATGGATTGTAGAGATAATTTCAAGAGCCCCTCCCCGCTTTTTTTTTTTTAATATTTTCTTATTTTTATTCGAAAAGCAGATCTGCAGAGAAGGAAAGACAGAAAAATTTTCCATCTGTTTGTTCACTCCCTAAGTGGCTGCAACAGCTGGAGCTGAGCTGATGTAAAGCCAGGAGCCAGGAGCCTCCTCCAGGTCTCCCACATGGATGTCCCAAGGCATTGGGCCGTCCTCCACTGCTTTTCCAGGCCACAAGCAGGGAGCTGGGTGGGAAGTGGATCTGCTGGAACATGAACTGGTGCCCATCTTATCCCGACACATGCAAGGCTCTGAGCTGTTGTTCTGGGCTCTCAAAAGGCCCATTTATACAGTAGGCCTTTGGTAGAAGCTGGTTGCCATTGAGGAGCTGGGAAGGGTGCAAGGTTGCTTAGAAAGCATCACCCTGTGAACTGGACTGTGTTGGGCACCAGCAGGAATGGAAGAGGGCCAGAGCAAGGTATTTATTCTCATAATTGAATGGGTGACATTTGAGTGCCTGCAGTCCCTCAGGCCCTGTCCCGTGTACTTTTTATGGGTAGTCTTACCTAATCCTAACCTTCACAACAACTCTTCAACCATGCTTCTTTCTTTTAAACAGAGACTAAAATAACCTGCCAAGGTCACACAGCCAGTAAGTTCTGACTAATAGGATTGTAATCCAAAGCCTGAGCTTTGGATCTGAATCCTAATAGGATTTTCCAAGTTTCACACATTAGTCCTCTGCCTTAAAGTCACCAGTTGTAGTTCCTTAACCTCAAGAAGAATAGACTGGAATGAATGTATGAGCAGTAAAATAGATACACTGGAAGGACCAAACCACTTTTCTTTCCCTCACCCCTGTCGTCACATTCCAGTCCCAGACTGACCTGTGCAGAGTGGCTAATACGAGCAGTAATTGTTTGACAGCAACGGAGAGCACCTCACATGTGCACCAAGAACCATTGCTCATATCTTGGCGTCTGTTTTATGATGCAATCAGGGGTTCCCTATGCATCAAGACTTTTAGAAGTTTGAAATTTAAAATGTACAGTATTACAGCATGCATTAGGATCATATTTGATTGGCTGTCACCCTATATTTGCTTTAAATATTTGATATTATAAATTAAAGCATCTTGGGCCCGATGGCGTGGCCTAGCGGCTAAAGTACTCACCTTGAACGCGCCGGGATCCCATATGGGCACCGGTTCTAATCCCAGCAGCGCCACTTCCCATCCAGCTCCCTGCTTGTGGCCTAGGGAAGCAGTCGAGGACGGCCCAATGCTTTGGGACCCTGCACCCACATGGGAGACCTGGAAAAGGTTCCTGGTTCCCGGCTTCGGATCGGCACAGCACCAGCTGTTGCACTCGCTTGGGGAGTCAATCATCAGACAGAAGATCTTCCTCTCTGTCTCTCCTCCTCTCTGTATTTCTGACTTTGTAATGAAAATAAATAAATCTTAAAAAAAAATTAAAGCATCTTTAAAGTTCTTTGTACATAAATCTTTAAGTGCAATTATGTTTCCTGAGAATGAATTCCTAGAAGAAGAGTTAGTAGTTCAGTATGCATAAATTTTTAAAGGCTTTCCAAATAGTTATCTAGATGTCTTTATAGATAGCTAATGGTCATTTTAAAATATGTATCTGTTTATTTGAAGGGTAGGAGGGAGCTCTCACTTGCTGGTTCATTTCCACTGCACCACAACTTGAGCCACCAGAGTAATGGTCAGCTGTGTGCTCAGATATCAGACTTTGGGGCTGGCATCCTGGTGAAGTAGGTCGTACCCCTGCCTGTGATGCCAGAATGCCATGTGGTTCGTCAGGTCCCAGCTGCCCTACTTGTGTTCCAGCTTGCTGATGATATGTCTGGGAAAGCAGCACAGGATGGCTGAGATGCTTAGGACCCTGCACCTACTTGGGTCACGCAGAAAAACTTGCCCACCACTGACCTCACCCTGGCCCGGCCCCTGCCTCTGCAGCAGCCTGGGGAGTGAATCAGTGACTAGAAGACCTCTGACTTTCTCTTCCTCTCTGTGTAGCTCTGCCTCCCAAGTCAGTGAATAAACCTTTAACTAGTAAATAATTAAAGCATCAAACTTCGCTGCTCCCTCACCACCACTGAATATTGTTAACTGTTTTAGGTATCAATCTTTTTGCCTAACTCAGTTCTGCTCGTTACTTTTCTCTCTGTCAAGTGGGATGATAGCGGAACTTCAGTGAGTTTTTGTGTGGACAGAGCAGATCACTTACCTCAGACTTGGTGTTGACTTCTCATGCTGAAAATGTGCTAACCTGGTGGCAAATGGAGAACCTCCTGCTTGACCTTGTGCTAAGATTTTTACCAGAGCGGAGCAGGTCTGATGGGCGTAATGAAAGGGCCAGATTGTAGAACATTGTGAATGGACAGGATGAAAAGGCACCTGAGAGGACCACTTAGCACGTGCAAGGTGTGGCTCTCAGCTCTGACCTCCACTTGCCCAGCTCATCCTCACAGGCAGCGTTTCCTGCATGGGGCAGGTGTGCGTGGTGAGTCTCAGGTCAATGGATGCAAGAGGCAGTGAGACTTTGGATTCTGAGCCTGACCGGCTTTCTTTTGGTCCCAGAAATGTGCTTGTTTTAGCACAACTCTGGGTTTTTTGTTTGTTTTGTTTCGTGTTATTTTTGAGTCTAAAGCTCAGACTAAGGCCTAAATAATCACCTATGATTGGAGATCACATGTGCAAATTCTTTGTCTGTACAGCAGTGCTTTGGTGTATTGGCTAACTTGTCAGTGTTATCAGCAAAGTTTGAACAGACATGAATTCTGCTCTACATAGATAATCATCAGCCTAGGCCTTCCAGTGGTCTGAATCATTAAAGTTGTAGTATAAACCGGAAGAAATGTTACTTCTAATGTGGATTATATTGACTGAAAAAATAACTACTTACCAACAAATAGAAATAAATAAATCTTAAAAAAAAAAAGATACTATACATGACTTATTAATGATATATAGCACAGTTTTCCTGTCATTTTAAAACTCCCAATTGAGTAACTTTTGATCTACAACTGAGTTTGTAAGTATTTAATGTGATAGTTTTTCTCTGTGAACTATCGTAGGTGCCAGCATGAAAACTTGGTAGAACTGCTTGGTTTCTCAAAGGATGGAGATGACCTGTGCCTTGTGTATGTCTACATGCCCAACGGCTCGTTGCTGGACAGACTGTCCTGCGTGGTGAGGCCCCTGGTCATCTGGCCATGCAGCTTTCTGTCTCCTTGCCAGAATATCGGTGTTCCTTTGTGCTGGGGTCGCTTAACCCGCATTTACCTTGGCGTCTTCCTGCTCTAGGACATCGTACAGATGATTTGTGCACCGCTGAGGTAGCCGCTCCTATACTTCATCTCAATTGTAAACTTCAAGGCTAGATTTTCAAGATTCTACTTTGTATTTTATCTTCAAACAAGAAATGCTGACCTATTTGGTCTTTAAGAAGTTTTAAACATTTATGATCTTAAATTCGTAGTAATACATCATTTTTACTTGTTGCTAAAATAAATGAAGATATGTCAAAAAGTCTGTGAGAAAATGGAATGAAGAGATGTTTATTTCCTGCAAACCTGTTAAAGTGCAGCCGTATTTCCTGTTACGTATTTTCCGTAGACCGTTTCTGCCCTGCTCTTTCTGACTGGTTGTTTCTCTGTAAGGATGATACTGCACCGCTTTCTTGGGCCACGAGATGCAACATCGCTCGGGGTGCTGCAAATGGCATCAGTTTTTTACATGAAAACCATCATATTCATAGAGATATTAAAAGGTAAGTGCTGCTCTTGAAGAGCTTGGAGACGGTGGCCTTCGAAGACTGCCATGCTCACTGTTTTCTTCCCTGTCGGCAGCATTAGCCTCTGCCTGCTCTTCCCACAGATGACCTCTGAACTCTGTCCCACAGGCCTGGCTCCTGCCGGCCGGACTCATCCCACTAAGCCATGCTCTTTGCTTTGGAGCATGTTGCTCTGTCCTTGACCACTCAGCCCTGTGGAGGCCTGACACTCTCTTGGTCTGGGGTCACTTTACTTTCCTGAACTGCTGTCCCCCTGTGTGGGTGCTTTCTTGTCTGCTTTTTGTCTTCCTGTTAAGGACTCCTTACAGTTGACAAGATATGGATGGGGTAGTTGGCAAAAGCAGCTTATGCAGCATGGACTTCAATCAGATTAGCACAAAATTCTGCAATTTTAGTGTATAGTAACAGTGCTAACATTAAGCTGAAATCCAGTAAATGAGGCAGCAGTAAGTCTGCATGACATGAGGACAGCCATGCAAGAACAGCATTCTCAACAGAAGGAGTGTGTCTGTGAAGGGAACCATGCGTGTGCTGGGGTAAGCAATGACATGCATCAGCATTGTGACAGGCACAGGGCGTCTTCAGAGAAATGACGGGGATGGCAGGAGTTGAATCCCATAGAACTCTGACGTGTAGTGAGATACACTGAAAATTAACCTGGAATGTGTCATATCTAAGTGTTGCAGAGATTACTTCTTTGTTTTGTAAAGGTTTATGTGTTTGGAGTGCAGAATGATGGACAAAAAGAGATAAATTTTCCATTGACAGCCTCACTCCCGGTAACAGATGGTGCTGGAGCAGCAGAAGCCAGGAGCTCTGTCTTGGTCTCCTGCCTGGATGACAGGGTGACAGGGTCCCAGGTGCTTCTGGCATCATGTGCTGCCTTCCCAGGAGCCTGGGCATGAAGCTGGGTCAGAAGCAGGCCAGCCAAGGCTCATGCTGGTACTCCAGTAGGGAATACCAGGCTCAGCTGGCTGCTCCACCGCACGGGCCCTGCAGAGATAAGGAAGCAGTGTGTAAGAAAGCTGCCATTGTCCATGCCCCATGTAGCAAGGGGCTCAGGCAGAGGGTGTGACTCAGGTGAGAGTCAGCAGCGCTGTCATGCTCAGGTCTGCTTTGCTCCTGTCCTTCCCTTGCTGCCCCGTGTCCTGTTGCATGCTCTTCCCTTGTCTCCGACTCTGTAGGTGAGATTCTGCTGTCCATGGCCACAGCCCAGAGTCAGCTCACCTGGAGCATCCCACAGGAGCCTCCCGATCGGGACCTCTGTCTTCAACAACTCCTTGTGGAGACCTACCTGCTTCCCTGCTGATTGGCGAAGTCCCTCCAGCACTGTCCCCCAGGCTCGTGACTTCTGCTGCCTGTGCAGATGCCACAGTTCAGCTGCGTCAGCCATGAACTTTGCACTTCCTGCTCACCCATACAGTCTTGTGCTGTTGAAACCCTCATTGTCTTTCCTTTGCCTTACTGTAACCCTTCTCCATGAACCTGAAGCCAGCCTATAGCAGTTCTTACGAGTCCATCGCTGCATTGCTAAGTTGTCATCCACAGCGGACATCTTCAGCTGGTTCCTGTTGCTCTCACACTGAAGGACACGAGTTTCTCAATCCTGACCCTGCACACCACGTGCTTTCATGCTGGCGTCACCCTAGAGCACTCTGCAATGCCCTGCTCGGTTGCCTGGACTACCTCTCACTGTGAAGCCGTCATCTTGTGGGAAGCCCTGCACAACTCTCACCCTCTCCTGGGAGTTTTCCACAGCTCGTGCAGGCTCATGGTTCTCTCTTTCAAATTAATCTAATAATTATGAGCATTTATTGCTTTTTAAAGAAATTATTCACATGCATGAGACATAGACAATATTCTGTGGATTTCACTTCTCACCCCCATGCCACATGTAGCATTTTTGGCTACATGTGCCACTTTTGTAGCATTTCTACTACAAAATATGAAATTATTTTTAATAAGGCTTTATTGAGCAAGACTATGAATGTATAAAATGAAGATCTTTTGGCCCTGAATCTTACGGCTTCAAAGATTACAGATGGGACAAAGTGCTATAAACAAATGAATAATTGAGAGGCTTTAGTTTTTTAAAAGACTTGTTTTATGTGTTTGAAAGGCAGAGTTACACAAAAACAGATGGAGAGAGAAAGACAGAGATCTGCCCTCTAGTTCTCTCCCCAAAGGGCCACGGTAGCTGGGCCGAGCTGGGCCAGAGCCAACAGCCAAGAGTTGCTCATATGTGGGAGCAGGGTCCCAGACTTGGGCCGTGGGATCTGTAAGTCACTTGTGGAATAGTGAAAATGTTTGCCTCTGATTTTTCCTCAGGAGACAAAGGAAGGAGATTATTTCCCTTTTGTTACAGTTTGAGCTCTCGATCTATTTACACGAATGGCAGGCTTTCTGAAATACTCTGCAGGCATACTTCAATCTAAGGAAGACAATCACTTCTCTAAACCTTCAATTTTTTTCAGTGCAAATATCTTATTAGATGAAGATTTTACTGCCAAAATATCTGACTTTGGGCTTGCGCGTGCGTCTGAGAAGCTTGCCCAGACGGTCATGACCAGCAGAATTATGGGAACAACAGCTTACATGGCGCCTGAGGCTTTGCGAGGAGAAATAACATCCAAATCTGACATTTACAGCTTTGGTGTGGTGAGTAGCTCATGTGTCATTAATATGTACTTGATAATGGCAGTCATTCTGCCCTAGCTGTGAAGTTGCGGAATATTAAAATACTACTTTGCTTAGCTAAATGTTAATGTTAAAATGTTAGCTAAATTAAAGCTAAAAATACAAAAAAAAGAAAAGAAAAGAAAATCTGATGTTCACACTAAGCCCTAGTTATGCCTGGGTTTATAGAAACTTCCCCCAATGTGTGAAACAACTGAGTTGACTTTTGAAATCATGAATTTGTCACCTCTCCTCTCCGGTCAGAGGAAGTGAGTCGTGCCATGTGGTGTATAGTATATGCTCTACTTGCAGGCTGTGTGGTGTTTTCTGCTCCACCTCTTTGCTCGTGATAATCCTGGAGAGAAAGTAGGGCGTATATGTAAGTGGTTGCAGAAAGTGGGAACTTTTTCTGTATCTTATTTGTTTCCGTATGTTGTGCAAATGGAAGTGTAGCTTTATAAAATTATGGCATAGGTTTGCAGAATATGCTGTGTTTAGAAACGGATGTTCTCCAAGAGTTTGGAATAGTTGTTCGTATGAAGAAACCTCTGCACGACAGGAAAAGTTTAGGAGTTCACAGAGCTTGTGTAGCAGAGTTTTGTTTTGTTTTGTTTGTTTTACAAAAAAAATTTTTTTATTTGAAAAGAAGAGTTAGAGAAAGTGAAAGACAAGAAGACAAAAAGATCATCCATCTACTGGTTCTCTCCAGAAATGGCCGCAAAGGCTGGGCTGGAGCAGACTGAAGCCTGGAGCCTGGAACTCCGTCCTGCGCCTGTGGCTAACAGGGACCCGAGTACAGGGACCATCCTCCACTGCCCTCCCTGGTGCATTAGCAGGGAGCTGGACCAGAGTGCAGCATGCAGGACTTTGACTGACTCTCATATAAGATACCATTGCGGACAGTGGCTTAACTCCCTGTGCCTCAGGGCCAGTCGCAGAGCTCTGTTGCTGTGGGCATGGTAGCATCCGGGTTACCTGCGAGGGAGGATGATGGGGCAGCTCCACAGCTCACGTTCTTTCCACTAAAAGATGTGATTTGTGCAGAGAAGCTCAGATCCGTGTTCCTTGCAGTTGCTCTGGTTCCTCTGTTAATGGTCTGTTTCTGTCTTCACAGGTGTTGCTGGAAATAATAACTGGACTTCCAGCTGTGGATGAACACCGTGAGCCTCAGTTATTAGTAATTGGAATTCACTTGTTCCCATCCCTTCCTCTGTGCGGCCCTGATGTATACAGCTCCCTTTGGCACCTGCAGGTGTATACAGCTCCCTTTGGCACCTGCAGGTGACATTCTCCACTGGCAGTCACATGGTGACACATGGAAAGAGCAGGAAACATTTCTAATGTCAGCTCTGCCATGACGGCCGGTGCAGCCGGAGTCGTCTGTGTGTTCTCTGATCCTTCTCTGGTAAAGTGTGCTTGGGACTAAAAGATCCCCTTGGCCTCTGAGGATTCTTTTGTCATTTTCAAGATGATTGCTAATAGCCTTTTTAGTCCAAAAAGGAAAAATATGGCTTTTATTCAAATTTGCATCAGAACAATGTGCCCGTTTGCATGCCCACGGCCCATATCACAGTGCCGGGGTCTGTGCCAGCTGTGCTCCCAGTTGCAGTTTCCACTAATGTTTATCGTAGCAAACAGTAGATAATGGCTCTAGGAGTTGACCCACTACCACCCGTGTGGTCGGCCTGGAATGAGTTCCTGGCACTTGGCTTTGGGTAAAGCAACAGAAGCTCACTTCCACCTCCTGCACCCTCTCTTCCCAAGAAAAGCTACAAGACAAGGGGAAAAGGAGGGTTGAGGTTAGACCCTGGTGTTTCACTAATTTGAGCTGATATATATTTTTTAAAGATTTATTTTTATTATTTTTTTCATTGGAAAGGCGGATATACAGAGAGGAGAGACAGAGAGGAAGATCTTCCGTCTGATGATTCACTCCCCAAGTGAGCGCAACGGGCCGATGCTATGCCGATCCGAAGCCAGGAGCCTCTTTCCGGGTCTCCCACGCGGGTGCAGGTTCCCAAAGCCTTGGGCCATCCTCAACTGCTTTCCCAGGCCACGGGCAGGGAGCTGGAAGGGAAGTGGGGCTGCCGGGATTAGAACCGGCGCCCATATGGGATCCCGGGCGTGCAAGGCGAGGACCTTTAACCACTTGCGCCACCGCGCCGGGCCCCTGAGCTGATATTTTTTAAACAAGGCCTGCCTGTCTGCATGGCCCATTGTTTGGCTTAATATTTTTTTTTTCACATTCACAATATGTGAAAGCCTCAAGGGCTCAGCATGATGGCTCAATGGCCAAATCCTCATCTTAGAAGCGCCGGAATCCCATAAGGGCACCGGTTTGTGTCCTAGTTGCTCCACGTCCCATCCAGCTCCCTGCCTGTGGCCTGGGAAAGCAGTGGAGGATGACTCAAAGCCTTGGGACCCTGTGCCCATGTGGGAGCCAGGCACTCGATCCAGTGTGCCAGATGGATGTAGGATTCCAGCTACATGACTGGTCCCTGCTGCCCTGCAGGCTGCACCTTAGCAGGAAGCTCGGAACCAGAAGCAGAGCCGAGACTTAAACCCCTGCCCCACTGTGAGAGGTGGGCGGGCCAAGCCGTGTCTCTCCCACCCCAGAGATAATGGGATTTCACGGGTAAAGCGGTCAGTTGAGTTCTGCTGCTGTCAACATTTTGAAAACTAGTTTTTGAAAAGTTTGGATTCATGTCTCATAAAATGTTGTCCATTGCATTAGTTTCCTGTGGTGTAAAAATGACCACAAAGTGGTGACTTAAGTGACAGACATGTATTGTCACAGCCCTGGAGGCCAGAAGTCTGAAATGAGGGTTACCAGCGAGGCCCTGCTCCCTCTGGGGACCTTAGGGGAGGGCACCTGACTGCTGCCGCCCACATGCCAGCAGCCTCTGCCACGGGGGCTGTTCTTGCCCTCTTTTTGAGTCTTACCTGGCCACTTTGGAGCATTGTGTAGTATGGTCTCATCACAAGCTGTTTAACCCTCAAAGACCCGTTTTTGCTGAGTTCACTTGCAGGTTTCAGTCATTAAACACATAGCCATGTTTTGGGGTCTACCTTTCAACCCAGCACCCCATGTCCTCCTGCGCCTCTGTCCTTGGTCACGCTGTGAGTCCAGCCCTTTGCATTTCCCTCCCATCTTTTGTGTTTTTGGGTAAACAACCGAGTCCGGGGAGATTTCCAGGCGAGGGAGGTGATGCGTGAGTGCGGTCGTGGGACCTGTCCTCCGGGGTGCCTCTGGAAATAAGCCCAGTGCTGGGCCCATGAGGGCAGGTCGCTCACCCCGACGGGACGAGCAGCGGAAGGCAGGTGGGCGACAGGAATACATGCATATGTGTCTGTAAGCATTTATCCAGTTTGCCCTGTGTGTCGTCAGTTCTCAGCCCAAATATGAAAGAAGATAGGGAAATGAGAGTCAATGTTGATAATGAAATAGATGATTCAAAAATTGTCTTCTCATTTCCTTCACTTTTATTGTACACTCCTAACAAAGTCTTAACACTCCTTTAAAGCTGGACATTAAAGAGGAAATTGAGGATGAAGAGAAGACGATCGAAGATTACGTGGATCCCAAGATGAGTGATGCCGAGGCGTCCTCAGTTGAAAGTATGTTCTCCGTAGCCTGTCAGTGTCTGCATGAGAAGAAGAACAGGAGGCCGGACAGTAAGAAGGTGCGTCTTCTACACCTGGGGAGAAAGTGAGACGGGTGGGGCTGGTCCTTCTTTCCTAAGTGTATGATATGGTGCTTTTGTTTTCTTCTGTCCGTTTGTTTGTAAGGTTCAACAGCTACTGCAAGAGATGATGCCCTCCTAAAACTTGACTGCAGTGGGTGCCTGGCTTCTTCATACAGCTTTCTAAACTAGTTTTTAAACTTAATTTTTTTTCCAAATGTTTTTAACAAGGCAGCAGAGTGGAGTGTTGTGTGGTTAAACAGAGCTGAGCCTGCAATGCTTAGATTAATTAAAGAGAGCCACTGTGTGAGCACTTAGGGCTCAGTGGACAGTGTCTGGCTCCGTTCCTACAGGCACTGCCGGACTAGCCAGGAGAGCGAAGGGCTCTGAGACGGGAGGAATCCCGGCGGACTCCGTTCCTGCTGGCTGCTTCGAGCTTTGTTTCGGTTTGGTTTGGTTTGTTTTTACCTCTGCCTTTCCGACATGTAATCATGAAAACTGAATGATGCAGTGATGTAAAATTAAAAGTTTGTAGAAACAATAATGAGAGCTGTTACAGTCATACACTTACAGCTTCATGTGCTCAAGGTGCTGTCACAGCAGTCACTACAAGCCAGAATTCCCAGGCAGTGTTCCCAGTTTCACTTGGCTGTTGATGGGCTGATGTGACACGGCAAAAGTGAAGTTTTGTAGGTGCAGGCGACACCCCAGCTGACCTGGACTGGAAGGGCCAGGCCTGGTTAGGTGAGCCCTTAGCAGTCAGGTCTCATGGGCCTTGAAGATGGAACTATGTCGAGAGGGCCACCTCAGCCAAAGCCTCGGGCTGCCTCTGAACCGGGCGCTGTCCTCCAGCTCCTAGGCAGGACAGAAGAGTGAATGCCCACTGAGTGGCCCTGTAGCTGAATCTGCTGACAGCCTGAATGAGCGCAGCGGTGCGCTCTGAGCTTGTGCCGATACCCAGCCCCTCAGCTCTGAGACCCTCAGGACGAGAGCCCGTCCGAGCTGTGCCCACACTCTTACATAGCCAACTGTGAGACAATAAACGAATTGCACTGAACACCAAATGGGCAGTTATTTATTATACAGCAGCAGAGTGGCCGCAGAGGCCCCGCTGGTAATCCTGCGTGTTTATAGGTCTGCCCGTGCTCCCTGCTGCGCGGCGTTGAAGGGCTCACACCCTGGGGGTTGGCAGAGTGCTTATCTCCGCTCAGGTTCTTCCTACCAGTCCAGGTGTAGCTCATTTCACCATAAATGGAATTTCTGGAAAAAGTAACAAATTGATTTTTTAAATGATTTTAACCAATCCAAGTTCTAAATTCTTAATTGATATATATTCTTTGAAAATTCTTTAAACAGAAGGAAGGAATTCACTGAATATAAACACTGAAAAATAGAAGAATTATACATTGACGGAAACCCAAGGCTTGCCATTATTCATTCCCATAATGGCTGTAGCTTACATATTGGTTTTTTTTTAAAGATGTATTTATTTTTATTGTAAAGTCAAATATACAGAGAGGAAGAGAGACAGGAAGATCTTCCATCCAATGATTTACTCCACAAGTGGCCACAGTGACTGGCTGTGAGACGATCTGAAGCAAGAAGCCAGGAGTGGTCTGTCATGGACCTGTGAGCCTGCATGAGGGTGTCCTCCACGCCCTTGACCATGAGTGGTCTGTCATGGACCTGTGAGCCTGCATGAGGGTGTCCTCCATGCCCTTGACCATGAGTGGTCTGTCATGGACCTGTGAGCCTGCGTGAGGGGTAGCCCTCCTCCACGCCCTGACCCCGCACCAGGCAGGACGTGTGACACTCCCTTGCAAGCATGTGCTGATAGCTAGTGTGGAACACGAGCATGATCTGTGAGAGACCTGGCAGTGTGGCCCACCTGGAGGTCCATTGATCTCAGCACACCGGTTGTGTGAACAACTGAGTGGCAACAGTGAGGTTGAAAACCACTGATTTACTCCCCAGATTCTTGCAGCAGTTTGATGTGCAACAGGTTGAAGCCAGGAACCCTACCCAGGACTCCCACCTGGATGTGAAGAACCCCAGAGCTTGGGCCATCATCTGAAAGGAAGTGCAGGCATCCCAAGCAGAGGCTTAACATGTTACACTGCACAACCCTGGCCCTGTAAGTTACACTTTCTTCAGATTCAAAGATGTCAATAGGTTGAAAGTTAACACATCACACAAATAATAAGCAAAACAGTTGGAGTGGCTAGTGGCAAACAGGTAAATTTTGAAAGTCATTCCCAGGAGCCCACCTTGTGGCATACAGGGTTAAGATACTTCTTAGAACACCCGTCGCCTACGTCGGAGTGCTAGTTCAAGTCCAGACCTTGTTAATACATCCAGGAACCACACGATAGGTCAAGTACATACGTGAGTTCCTGCCAGCCATGCTGGGAACCCAGATGGAGTTCCTAGCTTCAAGCAGGCCCAGTCCTGTACTTGCAGCCATGTGGGGGTGGGATGTGTCTGTCCGTGTCTGCCTTTTTTCAAGGGTGAGAGCCATTACTAATGACAGAGTAGTCAGTCCTTGAAGAAATGTTGTCCCTTCCAGCAGGACAGTCAACGGGGGTCGCAACCACTTAGGAGAGATTGGGGGACAAGAGACACAAAGAATGGACAGCAAGACAGGATGTCTGATCAAGCTGTCAGTTTATTGATTTTAATTGAGGGTTTTTATACTCTTCAGTAACTAAGGCTCAGGGAGGAAAGGAGAAACTAGGACGCAAGCCATGGTCTCCAGACCGATTGTTCTTGAGCAGTCACCATATCCACAATAGTAACCAACATATCAACAATAGCATAGGTAATCAGTAACAAGATGTCGGCAGGTACAGCATAAATCATATTCTAAAACAGTTGCTACAAACAATTGAAGCTAAGTGTGTGATTAGTTTCATAACTTCTTTCTCAAGCATCTAGCCAGCCAGGGATTTTCCACTGGCCCATAGTTCTATATTCAAAATGGCTTCAGTGTGGCTACAGTACACGGCTCCTGACAAAATGTCATCACCACAAACACATTTGTAGCACCAACAAAACCTGGAAGTATCTGACCCTAGAACGGCAGCGTTGATGGGGATAGAGGCGATACTTCAGTAACAGCTGCAGAACTCAGAATCAAACGAAAGACACTAGACAGACTACGCAGAAACAAAGATTAAATAGTACTATAAATTAAATTCACTGATCATCAGATGGAGGATCTTCCTCTCTGTCTCTCCTCCTCTCTGTGTATCTGACTTTCCAATAAATAAATAAATCTTTTAAAAAAATTAAATTCACTGAAACACATCTATAAACATTCCACACAATAATAGCAGAATCTACTTTCTTACCAGGTGCACATGGGAAATTCTGTATGTATCAAATATTAGTCTACCAAACAAGAGTGTTAGTTCCCAGGGGCTGCTCTAACTAATTGCCACAGGCATCTTAAAATGATATTAGTTTATCCTTTCGGTCTTGGAGGTTAGAAATCCAAGACACTGTGCCTGGGCAGAAGGTGAACCCATCCCTTGCATGAGCAGCGTCTTCCTGGAGTATCCTGACCACGGGCCACTCACTCCGTCTGTGCTTTCCTCTGACGTCACCCTGTTCCCCTGTGTCAGCTTTCAGTGTCCCTCCTGTAAGGGAACATCTGATTACATTTAGGACCCCTAGTGACCCAACCCAGTATTCTCATGTCAGAATCCTCTCACATTGGAAAGACATATCTACTGATTAATAACAGAAGTAAGTTCTGGAATTTCACAAATACAGGAAAATTATATACATCTCATTCCCAAATTAAAAATAAGTCAGGAGGGCCCGGCGTGATAGCGTAGTGGTTAAAGTCCTCGTCTTGCACATGCTGGGATCTCATATGGGCGCCGGTTCTAATCCCAGCAGCTCCACTTCCCATCCAGCTCCCTGCTTGTGGCCTGGGAAAACAGTCGAGGATGGCCCAAAGCCTTGGGACCCTGCACCCGTGTGGGAGACCTGGAAGAGGTTCCTGGATCCTGGCTTCGGACCAGCATAGCCAACATAACCAAAGCTGTCTGTGCTCACTTTGTGCATTCAGTGTTGTCCTGGAAATTCTAGCAGGGAAAAGGGGGAACAAACATTGGAGCTAATAAGCAAATTCGTTAAGGTTGCACGATAATGAACACATGAAATGGGCTGTGTTTAGTAGTCAATCTGTCAGCTGACCACAGATGTAAACAAGAAATTAGTCAGTTGTACATATATTGCAAGAAACGATGTTTGCCTCAAACCACAGTGGTCTGGTGCTTACAAGTTAGTGTTGTTGCAATGCCTGATTTAGTCACACAGAGACGGCCCAGGTCATCTAACATAGCTTAGTTAAGAGAAAAAATAAGAAATGTGACTTAACCCCAACACTGAATTCTCAGCAGGGAAGCAAACCTTGGGTGGCCCCGCTGAGCTTCGTTTCCTGACCGTCTAAGTGCTGTGGGCAGGATTCAAGTGGGGGAAGGCAGCAGTTGGCTGGCGATTCTTGGGGAACCCAGGATGGCACCTGAGCACAGACCAGCATCAAGTGAGACGACAAGCTGGTACGCCCAGTGAGCGAGGAGCCTCCGGGTCACACAGGCTCCCCTTCAGGACAACAGAGAAGTTGGAGGGAGAGCCAGGGACCACTGGATCTGGGGAGGTAAGAACTGGGTTTTATGGTCACCTTCCTAACCACTGCACATACCTTGTCACACTTTCTTAGCTGAGCTGTTACACTGGGAGGAGAGAGGGAAGGACTGTTTATACCCGAGAGCAAAGCTGTCAGGCATGTCTGCCCACAGACCGCCAGTGGAACCTGCCGTTTCTCAGGTCCTGAGGAAATGAGCCTTAGAGAACATCAGCAAGTTTCCAGTCATTCCTTTTAATGACATTCCTCCCTCTTGTGTAAACCTGCTTAAGGCCTCTATTCCATAATGTACCTCTATTCCATAAGGTACTGAGGGGCGCACAGTAGGAATGCAGCCAGTGTTTTTCGGACAGACGAACAGCAAGGGTCTCCGGTGCGCAGTGTCAGAGAGCGGTGAGGCTTACAGTTAGCGCAGCCCGTGGCAGTTTCATCATCGCTGCATTCTTAGTTATAAACGACCTTACTAGGTTTCAGGACAATTAAAATCTTCTGGACATAAAAGCAGGTTACTTAATAAATGAACAGATAAATAGGATTTCTAACTTTTAACCAAGTATTCAATTATGCAAAATTATCCAACTATTTTTTAAAGTTAGAGGAATAAAAAACAATTATACACAACTTAAACAGGAAAATTTTTATTGTGATATAAAAAGCACTTATAAAACATCCACAGAAGGCATTTAACTCTCCACTGCTATAAACTTAGTACTGGGAATGTTATTCTCCGTCTAGTGCCACCGAAAACAGACTGTAAACAATGAGTTATACTCACTGCTTTTAGCAATCATTGGTGTCATAATACTTAAGATTATATAATCACATCTATATTCTGGAATGTCCATTACTTTGACGTAGTGTAGTGGGAATCTAAAGTACAATTGCACATGGATGGTCCAGAAAACATTCATGGGTTTAGTCGGTCAGCCAGCCACAGGCTTCCGGCCTCAGTTGCTGGACTGACGACACAGCTTCTCCTTTCCTAACATGACTGTGTGTGAGTGCCAGTGTGGGCACCCACGGAGCAACTTAAAGGCTACCTGCAGCAAACAAGTGCAATGCTAGAGTCAATTACTAGTCTGATTATCTGTAAACAAAAACCCCACACACTCTTAATGCTAATAAAATAATCTATCAACCCATAATTATTCTAATATGCTTCATCGCACACTGAATTTCTGAAAGGTGCATATATTACCTTAGACAGTAAGGTTTAGAAATGAGTGCATCATATTTCGCAGTATGAAATGTGCATTTCTGATACTTGTTTTTGCAGCATCAAGTTTAGATCAAAATCAAGTCCAAGCCCTGGCTGCCCACAGGTGACTCAAGCCGCCTCACCGCCCTGGCTCTGCAGCAGTTACACAGGCTCCCAGCAAGTGCTCACGCCCCCTGGACTTCAAGTATCAAAGATGAGGCTCACAATCTTTCTAGTTTATAACCAAAAATGCAAAGCTTTAGCAAACACTTGAGTGTATTCTGAGATAGTGTATTCACTGAGAGCATTCCTAAGACTGGTGTGGATCTGTGAGGCTAATGAGCAGTAGGACTTTAGAACAATTTTAAATCTGAGTATTTCCTCGAAAGAACACGTCTTTAAATAAAGAGGGAATTCAAGACATTTTTTTTACAAAAACAGATTTTCCATATGGAAACCCAACAATCTTAATATTTTAACATTTTCATTATTTTTTTAAATTTAGTTTGCTTTCTTGTAGAAAGCTATTTAAATTTCAACCTGAACATACATATCTGGCCTCACAGCACTCAATGAAATGACTTTGGAAATGAAAATTTTTGAAGCACCAGAATTTCCTAAGATCTTCAGAAATCCTGCAGAAAAGAGTACAGCCTGGTACCCTTAAGTTTGAGTGAGCCGATCTGAAGGTTCATGCCATTAAAAAAAAAAGTGAGGAAGAAGGGACTCCGTCCCCACAGCCTCGGGCACGACACCAGCCTGACCACACGGCCTGGAGCCCAGGCTGTGAAGCCATCCAGCCAGGGAGTGTGCGCTAGGCAGCTCGCTCTTGCTTCAGTGATGCATGAAAGGCTGGTAAGAACTATGCCTTATGTTAACACATTAGACTTCTCTGGAGCTGGCCCAATTCCATAAACTAAGAATTATGTGAAACTGTGGAATCAACACTCATTGAAAACAATGTGACAAAATCAAACATTACCATGTTGAACCCTTTTCTAATCTGAACTCAAAAATAGAAATCATGAGTCTTCTATAACATTGATTTTAAAAACACACCAAAGTGAAAAGTGCCATTTTTCAAAAAGTATAATTTCCCCCTACTATATAGCAACATGGAATGATTTCAGTTCTCCTGTACTAAATGCTGGACTTTCAAAAAACTAGTATTGCAATGTTTAATGCAACAATTTTTAATCAGCGGTGGCTTCCGTTTCAGCTGGACCCCGAATCAGTCTTCGGATGCCTCTTTTTCCTGCAGGACCTTTTGGCTTTGGAAAACTCTGCTTGTGCGCGTGCTGCTTGGGGTGCACTTCTTCATACAGGAAGTCCGCAGTCAGCTCGTCCCCATTGTCTATTTCCATCTGGAAGAATGAGATGGGTGGTGTAAGATCATATCAAAGATCCCCACCCCACACCCGACAGCAGCAATGAACCAGTTCTCAGGCAAGCACAGGCCCCCATTCTGGAAGCTGAGCTCTGTGCCCACAGGCACCGCATCTTTCCTGGCAGGCAAGGGAGAAGGCCAAGTGCTTTCAAACTGGCCCAACTATTACCACTTGAGTTTTCCTGTTTCAGTGTAAGCCACGTGCACACAGAGAAGCTATTGTTGCATTCTCCTGTTGCTTTTGCTTTGGTGCACCACATGTAAAGATTTCAGAAGCTTCACTTAGGCCCTCCACCACACAGCGCAGGATCCCGGGCACCTCCAGCCCAAGTCAGATGACTCACATTTTAAAGGGTTAAAAATAACTGGCCTCCTTCCCACAGGAGGTGCTACATGCAGGCTGAAGTGATTCTTAAGATCTTAAGAGGTGGACAGGATTCATGCCCTAAAAAGATGGTTTATTCTTGGTCTGGACATCATTTTAGGTCAATTTGCATATAAGAAAGTGAATTTAAGAAAATGGTTGGTTAATTCCCTCCTTCCATTTTGACTGCAAAGACTCCTGACTGTCCCATGATGGACAGTTACGAATGGAGCAGTGCTTCTGTGTCACCAAGAGGTCCAGCAACAATCACACGGACACAGCCACAGAGGCACTGGATGAGCGGGCTCTGCACTCCCCAACCCAGCAGCCACACACAGCACGTGTTCAGGGTGCATCCCAAATGTTGACAACAGGACCAAGAAGCAGAATCCCACAGTTTACTTAAGTTTACTTTTCAATGTAAGCAGTCACACGTGGTTTGTGGCTACCACATTAGAGCACATGTCTACAATGACGGCAGTCCTCACAGAGCAGCCTCAGCCTGGTGAGGAGTTCTCAAGAGCTTACTGTCATTTTTATAAGTCACAATTGTATATCACCTACTATATGCAAGAAAAGTTTAGCAAAAACTGAATTACCTTTCTTATTACATCCATTTGCAGTTGTCTTTCTACAATTTCCAGCAGGGGGCTCTTGCAGCTGGAATACAGCATCCGTTCTCTTATACTGCATGTGTATCCAGGCATTGAGTAAATAAAAACTGCAAATTAAAATAACAACATACAATTAGCAGCATATCAACTAAACCAGGTACACAGATCCCATGAAAGTACAATTAACTGTCCTGGGCAAGAAGTAAGAAGATACCGTAGAAATATCAACAGGCAAACTGGAGGCAACCTGCTCCACAAGGATCTTACCGATGGACTCGAGATAGTCTCCTTCGTGAGAATGTTTATACAGGAAGAAATGGTAGCGCGCTGAGTCCTTGGGAATCCTCTTTGGCAAATCTTTTAGTTCTGTATTTGTTGTGTTGGCCAAAACTATAATTTCATTTTTTATATCTATTTCCTGACAACAAGAAACAAAATACATTAAGACACAGGCACAAATTAAGTTAAAATTCCATAATTGAAAAACTAGGAGACAAGAGGACTAGTTTGGGATCGACTTTCTTATCATGAACATTTCTTGCTTTTGTAATTAGATCAGGAAACAAATCATACTTTTTAATCCGATTATGCCCTAAATGACCCTAAATGACCAGATCAGCCACACTGCAACAACCGTGCCCACCCCTTACTGACGGCCACACTGCAACAACCGTGCCCACCCCTTACCAACTGCACATAGTTGAGCTGCCTGGTGTTCAGCTTCTCCAAAGCCTGATAGGCTTCTCGAGAAATAGGAAACGCTACTCCCTGCAGTGTCTGATGCTTGGTGTCCACGCCCACGTCAGTCTGCACCTACGTATAACAGATTTAATTCACTCGCAAAGTTTTGGCATTTGGGGGCATGAAATGGCAAAAACATAAGAATCAGACTCTGTAAGAGACAGCACCAACCTCTCGCCCAGCCTACTGTTAAACACTTACCAGCACTCCCATCTGCCACAGCCCTGCCCACAGTGTGCCCGCAGTGTGCCAGCACTCAGTGTGCGTGGCAGCATCGTTAGGGAAATGCGGGAGTGAAATGTCTGCATCAGTGCGCAGGGTGAGGCTGACTCTGCTTCTGTTTGTCCAGGGTCTGATCTGGCACATCTCAATGAGCTGCATAACCTCTGTCAACTGTCTTCAGGTTATTTTTAGAACTTTACTAATGATAACATACAACATATACACAACTTTACTTTGTTCCGTGGCACATAAAAGGCAGCACAAACATGCACTGAACTGCAAGGTGTACAGTGTACGCAGACGCAGCACCATGTGGCCGGGCAGACACCACAGACGCAGCACCGCGTGGCCAGCGTGGCCGGGCAGACACCGCAGACGCAGCACCGCGTGGCCAGCGTGGCCGGGCAGACACCGCAGACGCAGCACCGCGTGGCCAGCGTGGCCGGGCAGACACCGCAGACGCAGCACAGCATGGCCGGGCAGACACTGCAGACGCAGCGCAGCGTGGCCAGACAGACACCACAGACGCACGCAGCACAGCGTGGCCAGGCAGACACCACAGAGGCAGCACAGCGTGGCCAGGCAGACACCACAGATGCACGCAGCACAGCGTGGTCGGGCAGACACCACAGACGCACGCAGCACAGTGTGGTCGGGCAGACACCACAGACGCTGCAGACGCAGCACAGCGTGGCCGGGCAGACACCACAGACGCACGCAGCACAGTGTGGCCAGGCAGACACCACAGAGGCAGCACAGCGTGGCCAAGCAGACACCACAGACGCACGCAGCACCGCGTGGCCGGGCAGACGCTGCAGAAGGTCCAGACCTGAGCTTTCTTTACTACGAGTGCAGCGCTGCAGGTTTTACAAAGCGGAGACTTCAAGAAAGCTTTAAAGTTTCACACTTGATAAATTATAGCTAGTGCAGGGTGTCACTGCAGTGTTGTGACTGAAAGTCAAATCGAAATCTTATTAAAAAAAAAATGAATGGAGATTCTACAGCATAAATGGTACTGGATAATGGGAACACCATAGAATATATGCAAATGCGTACTCCAATACAGTCCTCTGGGTTCTGATTTCAAGGAATAGAACAAACTATCAAACTTGTTAAAACAAAGAATCCTATCCAAAGCTCCCCTCAACTGACTAGACTTCAAGCGCACAGTAACAGATCAGCGTAGTATTAGATGGCACTGAACAGCTTCCCTGACCGACTGCTGTTGTCTGGTTAAAGCTGCTTTAGCCATTTGTTCTTTTCTATTTCGTCTCACTAGAAATATAGTAGTTATTCTAACATACAATTAGAATGGCTACCAAAATGATAAAAATATGCTAATCTTAATATGGCTATAAGTTATTAATTCTAACATGCTGGACTCAAATAACAATCTCACATACATGCCTATGAGTGTTCAAGTTTCCTTGAACACTCTCTATTGTCTGTATTTTACTGCATCGAGGCCACCACTGCTCTCTGAAACAGCAATACAACCTGCTCCAGTAACCGTACAAGCCATACTCCTTGCACTAAACACGTAACACACAATTTTCCCATTTATAAACTATTCAAAATACAAATTTAACCACTATACATCCAACAGGAAGATTTAAGATTCACTAGTCTGACAGACATTACTGGAACTTATGAAACCTACATGTAGTTTAATCTTAGTTTTTAACTTTTGTCTGAAAAACATATTAAACAGTCATGTTTCTTAACTGCGTTAACCTAAACAATAGCTTTGTGTCTGTAGTTAATACCATACCTAACAAAAATACAGCATTTTCAGTTAAATGATCTAATTTACCTCATGGATTTTGATCTGCCGTAATTCTTCCTCAGCTGCAGTCAGGGGGGCAGGAGACGACTGGGATATCAAGTATTTCTTATATCCATGTAAGGACACATCTTCCTGTAAGTATAAAAATGATCAGTTACTCTCTGAAAAGAGAAGTCATTTTACCATTTCTTCTTAGCCTTCCTTAATACTCTACTTTAAAAGTTTCCAGACTTTCTAAGGGAAGACACCTGCTCTTCATCTCTAAGTCTTTGTCCAGAGTCCGGTGCTGAGGCCAGCCAGACTCGAACCCGGTCATGCTCAAGGCAACCTGAGGGGGAGCTGCCCAGCCATTACCAGTAGCTCACATTCACTTTCTGAGTTCTATATTATAAGGACTCACATATTTTTCTATCATCATTCAGAAAAGTTGCCATGTTCTTATATTAAAAGTATCCTAAAGTTACCTCATCAACACTGAACACACTCCCATTTTGTATTACATACTCCACCCACTCGAATACATTACCTTCTCAATCAGAAAAGCTCTTCACACACACAAAACTTAGTATTTCAACTTTCTTAATTTCTATGTGTATACATAAATATATGTGCTTAACATTTAAATATTTCAGAAGAATAAGTATGTTTCAATACCCCTTATTCTCATTGTGAATAAGAAGTTTTATAACAAGTGTTTTGAATTCTGTATTCGCCCATTTTCTCCATGTCTTCTAAGTTAACTCTGAGGTTGGCATAGGGTTTTGATCCTTTGCAGAGGAGTCTTCAGTAATATTCATTGTGCCTTTGTCTCTTCTTTTGCTCTTGGTCATTGTACTTCTGGTTATCAGATTCTTCTCCTCGGGGCAGGTTTCTAAGCTGTGTCACACACAGGTCTACAGTTCAATTTTACTTATTGCTGTTGGTACACGGCTCTTCATTTACAGCCAATTGTGCCACTCCTTCCAGTGAGTTCCAGCTCTGGATTCTTATGTTAGATTTCTGCCATGGTCTCCGTAGCCCCAGTTCCTGGCTGTCTAGTCTCCACCTCCTGTGATCCCATGCTGAGGCTGCACCGTTATCTGTACAACATTTCTCCCACTTCTGGTTTGAAAAGTTCTCAAGGTTAAGGAAAAATCAGGTGTTGTCCTAAATAGCTAGGTGGTGCTGACCTTGCCGGAACCTGTTGGCCGTTAGGTCTGAGAGCCACACAGGCCTATTTTGACCTGTATGATGCCAGCGTTGGTATTATTTTTCCCATGGGACCAGTGCAATGCTCTGAGCTCAGTGAGTTCACTCCCAGCTCAGTGTATGCGCAGCTCAGTTGTCCCTGCAGTCTTAAATTCTTTGCCACACTGTAAGAAATGGTGCCTGATGTGCCACTACTAGAGTTCTTGATCTGTTAGCCATCAGGTCTGAGGGCTACCTGGACCTGTCTTGGAACCTGTAGCATGCCATGTTGTTGCAATTCACTGAATCAGAAATAAGTTCACTCCCAGCTCAGTGCATGCGCAGTCCTGCTCCATAGCCTTTGCCTACTTAAAGAAATGGTGCTTAATTCAGCTCTAGGAGGCAAACTGGGCTGTGAAATCCATCTTGTTCCCGCACTGTCCATCTGGGGCCTGCCTCTGTCTCTGCACCTGTTCAAATCAAACAGACCAGAAAACGGGCAGTTCTTTGGGTTCATTTCTTGAGCTCCAGGTGAACGTCCCTTCCCTTGTTGCTGGTGGAGTTCCGACTGCTGATTGCTGAATGCTGCTGGGGTATCAGTCACTGCAACTCCACACCATTGTGTCTGCTGCTTTCCTGTGTCTGTCAGTCTCCAGGTGCCCCTCTGCTGTTGTTCTGTCCTCTCCTATTTCCTGGAATGTGCCCTCTCTGCTTCACACTGGCTAATATTTCTCCATATTTCTCGTGTCCTCACCCTATTCCGTCATCTTGATTCTTCTGATATTCACTAATACCCTTATTCTCAATGTCAAAGGTACAAATGAATGAATTCAAATTTACAATCATCAGCGTTAACTTACTGACATATAACACAACATTTTCTCTTAGATTCAAGCAAGCATCCATCTTTTATCAATTCATATCACTTCCATATCAATTACCCATTCCCTACGAGTTAATCACTCTAGTTCATTAATCCTGCCGGCTATAGCAGACAGTTTATAGCCACATGTAAACCGAACTTTGTACCTTCACTGTCCCAAACACTTCATCTTTGATGTGGCCACCTCCAAATTCCTTTTTCAGAGTTGCTCTTGTTGCTGCATACAACATTTTTTGACGAACCTGTTCAGGTGGAAGTTACAGAAGATAAAAGCAGGAAGAGAGATAATTACAATGCAAAGCACATTAAATCAATTGTGCTGACGCTGAAGCCCATGGCTGTGCAAACAGCCATGAAAACAGGAACCTTTGCACTGTCCATGGCTATTAAAGCAGGGATCAATCTATGTCACTTTTTTAATGGAAAAAATACAAACTTTTAAAATTCCTCATTTTTAGAAGCATAAAATGGGCTCAAAAAAAGCATTTTACTTAAAACAATGTCTTAAAATAGGAGAAAACACTTAAATGAAGTAACCTTGCTGGTAACATTTTACTCAAAGCTGGATCAGATATTGCTAATTAGGTTACTAGACATGAAATACCCCTGGCTTACTAGTATACCATTCCGTGAGGGAAGTGTAACAGCCACGCACACACCAGCCTGGAGGACACATGCCAACAACTACCCAATCACAGACATAATCCAATCCGGTATTTCAGATGGGGTGTGTGGGTATAATCTTTGAAGGGCGGCATTTAGATCATCTCTAAGGGCACGACCACGCACCGTTAAAGCACTGCTCCCTCTGTGTGTTCCTCACACAGTACAGCTGCCACAGAGGAACATCTCTGTGTGCGGGGTCACATCTTCCCCTGGCCCGCAGTCCACTGATTAGCCACAGCCCTCACTGAGTGTTCTAACAAAGTTTACTACAACGCTCCATCAGTCCTCAGAATTCATTCTGTCTCAGGACAGAGCGGTTCCTGCTTCAGAGGCCTCTCGTTGATCAATATGCCACAGATAGTAACATGAAAAGTTTTAGGGAAACGATAGTTCTCTTGAGTTCAAGGGCAAGGCGAGGTCAGTGCATGATGGCGACTTCACATAAGGAACACAGCATTTCCCTACGAGCATCTCTCTGGCCTGCCACTACTCAGCAAGACGTCCTTCCAGCACCGAACAGTCACACCAACCTGCAATTACTTACATGCGAATGATCTGGAGACCACGCGATGAATACCCACTCATATCCCTGGGCATTCTGGGAGTCTAACCTGAAGAGAATGTAGCACGGCTGCTTGTCCTCCAACAGGGGCAGGACAAACGGGTCATAGTCCTCATCCCAGGAGTCTGAAGGCTGGCGAGACGAGCCGATCACAAGCTGCTCTGTGGAAAACAATTGTTCAAGATATGCAAACACTTGAAGCTTGAAGTGGAGTGTGACAAGCACTGAGAATTAATTAGTATACTTATTTCCTAACTCCTGCTACATCAAAACTGGAAAGCAAAGTGGTAATAAAATAGTTACAATATAAAGTATTATTAAAACAGACATAAAAATTCTAACAATGGGAAGATTAAGGTGTTTAATATACAGCCCAAGAAAGGGAGACATAAAAACAACCTAGTAGTTGAGCTGAATGGTTACATTTCTATTTTCCAAAATGTCTGCACTATGAATAAGCAACCAACTACACTTAATTTCAGTGCTAGTCAGATCTGATATCAACACAGAACAAATAGGAAGACGGTTTGCTCCGGCTTGATCTTATGCCAGGAAGCGTGTGCCCTCGCTGTGGGCTGCACAAATGGGGGTCCGTGCGAGGCTGTGCTCTGCAGCCCACGCCGCAAGCACGGGCACTGCCTGAGCACTCACCGGGAACCCTGTGGACACACAGCATGCGCTGAACAACTAGGCAGCGCTCCAGTAAAGCCAATTACAGGCTAAGAGGAACAGAAGGCTCAGTCAGAGGCTCAAAGCGCTGGCGACAGCTATGCGGGGAGTCAGGCAGAAAGGGGACTGCACAAACAGAACGCCTGTCATCTCAGAGCAAACGGAGCGGCATGTGGGACTGAATCAGAAACACAAGATGTTATCAAAGGTAGATGTGAGCATTTGTCCATTATTTTCTTCTTTGGAACCTGCTGATTTTAGTAATTTTCCTCGAAACAAAAAGTAAAACCAGAAAATAATTCTTCAGTGCAAGCTGTGTTTTCCTACTTCACAGAGCACCAGGGAAACCCCCATTTTTCTGCTGGTGTTACTCAGTCACTTGAGAACTGACGCTGGGTTTTTGTTCTACCTTAATGTTTCTAAACCATGCTGCTGCTAAGTGAACACTGCACAGGACAACTGCCTATTTCACAAATTATTCTTGCATTGGGAAAAAAAAAAGGAAAACAGATTTACTTCCGGCTTTAGAAAGAAGTTACATGCCCCCCAAAATATTTCACAGTATTTAAGAAGTTGGAGCGATGGAGCACTTATGGAGCACTTAAGCACTGAGATTTGTGATCAAGTAGCAACAATGTGATCGCTCCACTGCAGGCCTACCTGAGGAAGCCGGCCTTCCAGTGAACCTGTCTCCTGCGACAGCACTGTTTTCAGAGAATCAAGTCACATCCATGCTGTGCCACCCTCCTCATTTCTGGGGCACGGGCTACAGCTGGGATGGGAGGGGTGAGGGGTTCTGTGTTTCTAACAAACATCTGTTCAAAACTTTTTTTTTTAACTGAAAAAGAATTCACAAATGACTTAGTTTTCTGATGTGTGGGTTTTTTTTGTTTGTGTGTCTGATAATCACCTGTCTACTTTTTCTGAGTGGAAAGCAGGGCGCATGGATATCAGACTGTGGTGTTGAAACTGAGTTACAAAGAGGGAGACACCACACCAAAAACGCCTTTGTGTTCTTGTTAGTCAGCCACTGATGGATTCAGGTTGCGGCTCACAGGCCGACCCCGCCTCACTCCAATATGGGACACCCGCCGAGCCAGCGGCTCAACTCACCATTCTCAATAGAGATCTTCAGAAGTCTGTACTTGCCATTTCTGGCTCTGGCAAACATCTCTTTAACATCCTCACTTGCTGTGGAAAAGACAGAAACAACAAAGTAACCGTACTGTTTCATATCTGGCTACCTAAAAATGAGCACAAAGGAAAAAGTTGGGATATGTAACATCTGCTTATGAGCATCATAAAAGGAGCTCACAGTGGACCCTGGACACGGCCAAGGACTAGCAACAGCACGAAGTGCCAAAGTGGATCCACTCGCATCCGCTTTAGCTGGGAAAATCTGTAGCAGAACAACACGGGAGTGAGCAAGTCCAGTAATGGCCACATCCTAACTTGGAAAAGCAACTTGTAGGGTTGAGAACTGTCACAAACTTCAGGTTCAAGCTTTTTACAAAGACACTTCCTTCAACGGCTCCTTGTCTGTATTTTTTCATGAAAAGCAAAGCCAGTCTAACGCATGCCATCTTAAGCTCCTGGCGACAGTTTTCGCGGCCAGAGCCGCGGGCAGGTGCAGCCTCGGGGGGCACCGCGGCTCAGGTCGTCCAGTGTCCACGTCAAGGCTGAGCCGCGGGAGCCCACGCCCAGGGGTCCGCCTGGGCAGCGGCCAGCGCCACCCGCCAGCCCCGCCCGCCCCGGGCCCGTTACCTTGGATGCCCGTCTGGTGGGACATGGCGGCGGCGGCGGGATCCCGGTCCGGCGTCGAGTGCGGCCAGCGCCCCGGCCGGCGGCCCCAGGAAGCGGCGGCCGCGCGTCCGCCCCGCCTCGCGCCCGTCATCCTCCGGCGCCCGCGCGTCATCCCTCGGCGACCGGCCGCGCAGGGCCGCCTCGAGCGCCCTTGGCGCGTCATCAGCTCGCGACGCGCGGCCTCCCTGCTCTGTGAAGGAGCTGGCGACGCCGCTGGCTCCCGTCTAGCTCAAACCGAGCCCCAGTGTAATATTCTCTTCATCGGGACAGTATTCACAACTCACTTGCTTAAATTCGTCCGGTCACAGCAGATAGGGTCTAGAATTAATTTCCGAAAGGTAATTTTAGTCATTTTTACCATGCGTTGCGACCATTTCCTAAGAGAAATTCTTGGTTTTTATTAGGCCCTTGGTCTGACAGAGGTACACAATGGCAGTCCAGTAAGAGAGAGAGGTGTTTTTTGGTGGTGAGGGGTGGGGGGTGGATCAGCCAAACCGTAGAAGTTTCCGTTAACAAAAAATAAAGCCACCCTGCGAATACGGCGTCTGCAGTAGTGCTTTACGCAGCCCAGTGCCGGGCGACGCCTCAGGTTGGGCAGTCAGCGGTCTACGGCTTCTCGGGGCTGTGCAGGTGTCCAGGGGCCGAGAATGCTCCCTGGCGGGTGTCGGCGTGCCGGGCAGGCGCGACCCCCGGAGAGCCGGGGTGCAGGAGCTGGGTCCCGCAGGATACAGGGTGCACGCAGGAGCTGGGTCCCGCAGGATACAGGGTGCACGCAGGAGCTGGGTCCCGCAGTATACGGGGTGCACGCAGGAGCTGGGCCCCGCAGGATACAGGGTGCACGCAGGAGCTGGACCCCGCAGGATACAGTGTGCACGCAGGAGCTGGGCCCCCCAGGCCACGGAGTGCGCGTAGGAGCTGGGCCCCGCAGGATACGGGGTGCACGCAGAAGCTGGGGCCCCCAGGCCATGGAGTGCGCGTAGGAGCTGGGCCCCCCAGGATACGGGGTGCACTGTGGCACAGGCTGCAGCAGTGTCCAGCTATGTCTTTACATCTGAAAGAGCTGGAACCTGTGGACCGGGGAGCCATATTCCACTCCCCAAATGGCCACATTGGCCAGAGCTGAGCTCATCCAAAGCCAAGAACCCAGAGCTTCTTCTGGGTCTCCCGCTTGGGTGCAGAGTGCCAAGGATCTGGGCCAGCCACTACTGTTTTCCCAGGCCATAAACAGGAAGCTGGATGGGAAGTGGAGCAGGCAGGACGCCAATAGGTGTCAGTTTGGGGTGTTGGTGCTTGGAGGTAGAAGATTAGCCTGTTGAACCGCAATGCTGCCTACCCCCCCACCAAAAAAATCCATTTCTCCCTAAGTATTTTGAAGTACCTTTGTGTCACATAGCCTTAGATTTATGAAGTGTAAAATGAGAAAGAATTCAATCATAAAAGACCAGATAATTAAGCAACATACTTTAACTAAAATGAACTTATTATATGCAAGTAATTGTATCTCCAGCAATCCACAAATAAAACAGTGGCAACACTTCTAAAACTTCTAACAAAATGGGATTTTTTGACAGAAGATCCTTTCATTTTCACAGGACTCTGGTGCTTGAATGAGTGAGTCACTAAGGGAACAGGACAAAGAGCCTGGGGGAAAGGTCACTGCCATCACACAAGCTCTTTATTATTCTCCCTGTGGAATCTGGACTGAATCTTGATACATGATAGGTACTGTGTCATGAACGAAATGGAGCGATTTAGTTCAAAAGAATTGTTGATACGGGTGCAAATGGAAATCACAGTGCAAAACAGAACTAAACAACAGTTTGATCTGTTATTTGTGGTGGAACTTGCGGTGCAGGTTGTAGAAGTACCTGAGTTGGGATTTCTCTCTCTCCTTCCTCTCTCCTTCCCTCTCCTTCGCTTCACACATCTCATGTGTGGTAGGGTGGTCTGATGGCCAGACTTGCAAACTGTCTGACATGTTGTGCCTTCCTATGACTCTGTCTTTTCTCTGATTATTGCCAACACTTAAAAAAAAAAAAGCTCTGAAAGACGCTGCCCAAAACGGAGTCCATGTCCATGGCCTCTGAGCCTTTTGTTGTCACAACAGAGGCAACTGCAGCCTCTCCACAGCTGAAGGACTTGGACTGGAGTCTGCAGTTTTGTTGGCAGGCAGTGCCAATGAAGCTGTCACCTGTGCTTGGTAGGGCAGGGTTTGGTTTGCTGTTTTACTTTTAAAAATAAACGAGGAAATCATTAGTAAGAAGAAATTGGTGGGGTAGGGGCCAGGATTCCCAGGGAAGTCATGGGAGGGTTGTAGGTCTTACCTCCACCCCGAGCTTCTGTTTGGAACACGCTGAAAGCTGTAACCTGCTAGTGTTTGTGATCCGGCACGGGTTAACCTCTGCTTGATGTTGAAGATTTTGAATGCTGATAATGGAAACAGTAGGACAGTGAACCTCGGAAAAGGACTGTTCAAAACCCGTTAAAATACTATGCTCAGATCACATGCATTCATAAATACTTCAGTAATCATTTTTGGTGAGAAAGACAGTTAACTACACAATGGTCTTGCTATTAAAAAGAATTTTATTCAAATAAAAGGCAGACTTTCAGTTGATGGTTAACTACCCCAGTAGCTTCAGTGGCCACAGCTGAACCATTCTGAAGCCAGGAGCTTCTTCTGTGTCTCCCGAGATGTTTGCCGTCCTCTGCTGCTTTCCCAAAGCAAGGAGCTGGATGGGAAGTGGAGCAGCCAGGACGGACCTGTGCTAATACAGATGCCAGTGCTGCAGGCCAGGGATGCCACCGTGCTGCCCCGTATTCTTCCTAACAGGAGAACTCCGATTTTTCTTTGGTGTTAAAAAGCTCAGGTCAAAGACGACCTCTTCTTCCTTCCAACTAAGTGCGGACATGTGATCATGTTCCACCCAGTGGGATCCAACAGTTGGGTGAGCCTTTTCAGAAGGTCCCCCAAAATGGAGCTGGGGAACTGCTGAGAACCCTGCTTGACTCTCTTCCCACTTCCTCCAGTTTCCCCTTGGGTGGAGTCCCAGACATTGCACTGTACCTGAGGCAGCCTTGGCGACAGAAACCATGCATTAGGATGGGAGTAGACAGCAGTGGACAGTGGACGGGAAACAGCAGTGGGTAGGGGAGGTGGCAGTGGGCAGGGGAGGCACCAATGGATGGGGAAACAGCAGTGGGCAGGGAGGCTGCAGTGAGTGGGGGAGGCACCAATGGATGGGGAGATGGCAGTGGATGGGAAACAGCAGTGGGCAGGGAGGTAGCAGTGGACAGGGGAGGCACCAATGGATGGGGAGACAGCAGTGGGCAAGGGGGAGGGCGGGGAAAGGGTTGGGATATCAGTGGGCCAGAGAGACAGCATTGGAAGGAAGATGACCCTGAATGACCGTGACTCTCCAGTTCAGACTCCCACTTGTTTTATACACTTGTTTTATACCCTACACAAACAACTTGCTGCTTCCAGTTTCCATGGCTAGAAGCCTGGTGTGTTTTGTAAATAAGGAGCAATTCTGGGAAAAGACTCTTCCTTCCACAAGTGTCCAGTGTTTCCTAGAACCTCTCCAGAGAGGCTGACCCGCCTCCGTCCGAGCACTGTCACTTGTCCAAAGCAGATTAACATGTGTTTGTCAGATCTGCTTAGACTAGATCTTTGTGTGTGAAAAGCATTTTTTAACTATGGGGGAATTCACTTCTAAAGTAGCTGAAAACATGAGCTATGTGTATTTCGGGATTTCACTGTTTCCTTCAAGATTGACTTGTCTTCAGGTTAGGCTTACATAAGACTTTGGAAGGTGTTCAGCATCTTACAGTGTCTTGGGTCCGGGTTTGTGGGGCAGCCGCGCACAGCTGTGGGCAGCAGTGTCTGCCCTCTGGTGTGTGCTGTGCCCTCTCAGCCCTGGGTGCTGTCTGGTCCTGTTCCCCTGTGGCCTGAGTGTGTGCTCTTACCTCTCCCAAAGACAGAGCCCTAGCCACGTGGGCTCGGCGGGACCAGGACCAGGGACCTGGCGGCAGCTTGCTCCCACCTCACCCCAGCTTCCTTCCTTTGTTGACTGTGCGGCAGCACCTCCTGCTACAACTGCCGTGCGCCTTTCTACACTGCACTCTTGGCTTCGGACAGCTCAGCTCTGGCCATCATGGCCGTTTGGGGAGTGAACCAGTGGATGGAAGATCTTTGTATCTCCTTCTTGCTGTAAATCTGATATGCCTCTCCAATAAAAATAAACGAATCTTAAAGTAATAAAACTGCTATAAAAAGTGGATCCCTGAGGCCAGTGTTGCTGGACAGTTGGTTAAGCTGCCCCCTGAGACAACTGCATCCAATTTTTAATGCCAATTTGCATCCCAGCTTTTACATTTCTTTGCTTCTTAAATTTATTATTATTATGATTGCAGAGAGAGAAGGGGAGGGAGGGAGGGATTTCCAACTGCTGTCTCACTCTCCAGATGAGCACAGTTGTCAGGGCCAGGCTGAAACCAGGAGCCTGAAACTCTATCCAGTCTCCCATGGGATATTTGGGATCCAAGCACTTGGATCGTCTTCCACAGCTTTCCCAGGCACAATAGCCGTGACCTAGTTGTAGGTGGAGCAACTGTGACTTGAACAGCTACTCATGTGAGAGGTCTGCTATTGCAGGCAGTGCCTTAAGCCGCTGTGCTGGCACGCAGGGCCACTTGCCCCTCCCCTGCTGTCCCATGTCTGATCCAGCTTCCTCCAGATGCATCCGGGGAAGCAGTGTAAGACATCTTGTGGGGCTGTGGAACTGAAATAGGAACTGAGTAGTACTGCAGTGTGCTGAGTGACAGGTGAATTAAGAAAATAGTGTGTTAAGCAATAGACAAATAATACTAGCATGATAGTAATGAGGAGTAGTATCAAGAAATAGTTCAATAATAAATGAATGCTAGCAATAAAGAAAATAAAGCTAAGCCAATGCCAAAAATATGTAAGTGTTAAAAGATAACATTAGGTGATTATAGGGATTAAGGTCAAGGGATAGCATTAAATAAGTAATTAGTAATAAGGTAA